GCCGACCTCCAGCTCCAGCCCAAACCCACCACCGACCCAGGGCCCTCCACCCACGCCGCCGTCGGCCAGATGATCGTCGCCGACCTATGCCTCCGCCACACGCGACGCTGGTGTTCCCCAGCGACCCGCGAAAACGCCGACCAACCCCTCGAATGCTCCTACGAGATCCACGCCAATCCAGACCAGTGGCAAATAGGCGGTCGTCGGCGGGGCAACTTCCTCGCTCGCGACGGTGAATCCACCCGCTTCACCGTCCTACTACTCCCCCAGAAACCAGGCCATCTCCTTCTCCCGGGCGTTGAGATCCGTACCTTCCTACCACCGGCGCCTCAACCCCCGACGTCGCCGCCTGCGGCTGATGCCGCTGGTTCCATGGCGCCGGCTCGTCGCTCGATCCCTTGTGAGGTTGACTACCGTAACCATGGCGAGACGGTTCTTGTTCTCCCGGATCTGAAGAAGACGACCGTTAGTCTTAGTGCTGCTGGCGGTAATCATGCTGCTGGTGGGGGATCTTGGCTCGTTGACTCGGAGCGGCGGACGGAGGAGGTTCGTTGATTTGATAAATCTGTATGGGGTGTGAGAGTGATTGTATGTATAATGAGTCGTATATAGCCTCCCTGGGATACTTGTTTGTATGTAGATCTACGATTCATGAATCCTTTATTTTGTGAAAGCCTTCAATTGTACTCCCTATACTCCGTAGACCTTGGGAATATGGTTGATGGTTTCGGCTGGGGCTCCCGCTGGCCCTTGGCCCGATACAGACTAGTATGCACTAGTATGGATTAACTCCATCTCTTAGCTAGGATCGACGTTTCTTCTAACTCGCTTCTAGCACGCTCACGTATGACTTTTTCTACCTCATGTGAAGTGAATATTTCCAAGTACTCTCTATGTACTCCGTAGAAGTCGGACAATAGAAAAGTCCGAGATCGGCCTGATCAGATCTTATCTAAGGTGGCAAAGCGATAAGGCCAGGGGCACTAAAGAATTAAACATCTGAAAGTAAAAATTAGCGTTTGTGTATTTTTCAAATGGGAGTGGGGCCCCAACAAAACCAAAAGGGTCCCAACAAGCGGGTAGAGGCAATTTTATATCTCCGTATCTGGGTATCTATCTAGGTAAGTATTCTATTTTATATTAAATGTTGACATGTTCATTGAAAGAATTTATTATATTTATTGATTACATATTCGATACATTCTCAATTTTCACATCTGGTCAATCCAGTTAATGTGAACACAACATCTGTATACTACATGTAGACAAATAAGGTTGAGGCCATACAATATAGTTCTGCCAACACCGAATTACATCCGGAAGGCCGAGAAAGTCGAAAAAGAAAAAGTGGATCACATGTCCCTTGCGCATACCACTGCCGAGCCATCCCCAGCCCTCCCCGAGGGGGTCTCGGGTCTGGATACTCCGTACGGAGTATCCAATTGCGCAAACATAAAAAGCAAAACCAACTCGCCATATGATCTTGCATCTCGGGTCCGGTGGAAGACTTCCAGGCCAATCGAGAGGCCAACCCAGGCCGTCTACAACATACTTTGTATACATCACGAAAATGACCCGCCGAGGCAAGTTGATCACTTTAATCTACCCACATGCAGCTACACCTTCACCGTATTCTCGGCATGTGAAATTGACATCCAAGCGAACACCAGATAGAGCCTAGATCACATCGATCAGACCACGATATCAAAATTTTGTTGGGATGAACGGGATTAACCCGCGAAAGATCTCAAGAGAGAAAGCGCATAAGATGTACGGAGTACTCCGTAGTCTAAGTATAGAGTAGCACAATGACATGAATACGAGATCGACTCTGAGAAAAGATCAGCCCTATCCTGGCTATTCTGGCTATTCTGGACACATGCAGTTCATGCGAAAATTCAATGAAGGCGAAGTGGATCTAGATATCTGTAATTTTCAGTACACCATACGGTTGGATTGCCCCTGGGGGTGGAGTGGCGGTATGAAAATTACCACCCCACGGTCCCATGGGATTGTTTTTCTTTTTGGAATTTTTGGAATTTTTGCCCTTCAATTTTTCTGTTTCTCTTTTTTTTTTGAAAGGGGGCTGTTTCCTTCTTTTGTGTCCTTTCTTTCTTTTTGTGGTCAATTGCCTGCTTTCTCGTTGGCTCTCGTTGGCTCTTGTTTAGAACGGGGCTCTTGCTTCGATCTACTTTGTCTTTTGTGCAACACCCCAAAAACTCAAAATATTGTGAGTAGATGACAGCTTACAGCTCCGATAATCCCAGCTAATCCCATCACAGGTTGATTCTTGTTTTAAAACGACTTTCGTTCCTGCTTTGAAACGCTTGTCCTTCGTTTCATTCCAATAGAAAGGGATATCTTGAGAGTTATACCCACTGTGACTTCGGAGTTAGACACTGTCAACCTCAACAACACCCAACATGTCGTCTACCGCAATCCCCAAGCGCGTTGCGCTCAATCGCAACCCCGCTACAGAGTCCTCAACGGCCAGTTCTGTCTCGGCCTCACCCTTTGACAGCCCTCGCCAGTCTCCCTCCTCTACCTCCCTTTCCTCGATGGCTTCGGAGCAGGAGGGCAGCAAGATGCTCGATACCTATGGCAACGAGTTCAAGATCCCAGACTACACCATCAAGCAGATTCGCGATGCCATTCCCGCTCACTGCTTCCGTCGCTCTGCCGCCACCAGTTTGTACTATGTCTTCCGTGACATGGCCATGTTGGGATCCGTCTTCTACCTCTTCCACAACTATGTCACCCCCGAGACTGTCCCCTTCATGCCGGCCCGCGTGGCCCTCTGGACCCTGTACACCATCGTGCAGGGTCTCGTCGGCACCGGCGTGTGGGTTCTGGCCCACGAGTGCGGCCACCAGGCCTTCTCCCCCTCCAAGGTCCTGAACGACACTGTTGGCTGGATCTGCCACTCCCTCCTGCTCGTCCCCTACTTCTCCTGGAAGATCTCCCACGGCAAGCACCACAAGGCCACCGGTAACCTGGCCCGCGACATGGTCTTCGTTCCCAAGACCCGTGAGCAGTACGCCTCCCGCGTCGGCAAGACCCTGCACGAGCTCGGTGAGCTCTGTGAGGAGACTCCCATCCTGACTGCCGGCAACCTCCTGGCCCAGCAGCTTTTCGGCTGGCCTATGTACCTGCTCAACAACGTCACCGGTCACAACAACCACTCCAAGCAGCCCGAGGGCCGCGGTGTGGGCAAGCAAAACGGCTGGTTTGGCGGTGTCAACCACTTCAACCCCTCCAGCCCTCTGTACGAGGCCAAGGACGCCAAGCTGATTGTCCTGAGTGACCTGGGTCTCCTTCTCACCGGCTCTGCCCTGTACTACATCGGCACCAACTTCGGCTGGTTGAACCTGCTGGTCTGGTACGGTCTCCCGTACCTGTGGGTGAACCACTGGCTCGGTAAGTTTCACAAAACACAAAGAACACCAGTTCTTTCGAGTCCCTGTTGCTAACAATATCCCTTGCAGTCGCTATTACCTTCCTCCAGCACACCGACCCTACCCTTCCTCACTACCAGCCTGAAGTGTGGAACTTCGCCCGCGGCGCTGCTGCCACCATTGACCGCGACTTCGGCTTCGTCGGCCGCCACATCTTCCACGGTATCATCGAGACCCACGTGCTGCACCACTACGTCAGCAACATCCCCTTCTACAACGCCGACGAGGCCAGCGAAGCCATCAAGGGCGTCATGGGAGACCACTACCGCTCTGAGGCTCACACCGGCTGGACTGGTTTCTTCAAGGCCATGTGGACCTCTGCCCGTGTCTGCCAGTGGGTTGAGCCCACTGAGGGTGCGGTCGGTGAGAGCCAGGGTGTCATGTTCTACCGTAACACCAACGGCGTCGGTGTTCCTCCCGCCAAGATGCCCAAGGCTCAATAGATATTGAGGCCTTGAGTGCTTGTTTGGTTTTCCGGTTATGTTTTCTTTCCCCTCTTACATTGTTCTGATTCGATTTCAGCTTTGATGTCTTATGTTGTATACTTTGCGTGGATATACACAGAGTCAAGACGATTTCCCTTGAGAGATTCGGCGGGAGTCATAGATCAAATTTGACGTTTCTTTTCTCATTGAGCCGCTGAAGCTTTTTCGTGATTGTCGTTGTGGTCTCGCATCTTCATATTGCATCTCTTACCTTTGATCCTTAGATCCATTCTTTTGTTTCTTCGGTGAAGGTTGGGCTCATGTTGCAAGGATGTTAGGGGGGAAGAAGGAGCCTGATGAAAAGGGGAGAAAGAGATGGTCGCTGTTAATTTAGAGAAATGTCCATATATATGATTGTGGTTAATTTGAAGCGTGTTCTTCCTTTTCGTCTCTTCCTTGTCTACACGTACATGTACAACTGTACATATGTCCACCGAATACATGCTTACATGCATACAAAGAGTCTGGAGCAAATGATCGACAAGCCTATGATTCATAACCATCGGAAAGCCATATTGGAGTGATATTCCACTTTCAGATTCCAGTTTGAGATATTCTAGATACTCTTATACATCTCCAAGTCAAGATAAGTGTAAGAAGAGAGAGGCTAGGTATAACTAGGTTAATATACGTAGCACTGTCGGCCAAGGCCTGCATCACACAGCAAATCCAAGTTGGAAGCCCTAAATGGCTCGATAATAGTTGTACAGCAGCCTTGAGTCGCACGGATTCATTTCTTTGCGCTTTGTTCAACCCCGTGAACCTCCAAAACAGGCTACCTACATGCAAGCCGTTGTGCATCACACCTCAACTCATGAACTTCTAATCTCCTCAAGATCAGCACTCCACATACGAAGTCTATTATTTAGAATAGTATGGCCCTTGCTTGGATGTTTATATCTTTTCAGATGTTCATATGTACAAAATCTCAACGCTGTTGGGTATCATAGTTCTGTTGCTGTTCTTGTCATGCCAACATAGAGTAAACCACGGTCAAGACTTCCAAGATAGACTATATGGCAGGCAAGAACGAAGTCGGCTATATATGGCACTAGACGAATCATTCACCGTGACTCGTACTTCTCAGGCCACCTTTCCAGATTTCAAACTCTACCTCGCCACTTCTTCTACTTGGTTGGCCCTTTCTTGGTGAATCCTTCGGGCCTGCCGTCCACGGCGAGAACACAAGTTTCATTGTCCTCCGTGTAGTAGATTCAGAGGTCGGAGCGGGCAGGTCGTTCTGCGAGTCAGAGACTCGGTTCTTGAGATAAGGGGCAGGCATTGCTATTGAGTCCGCGTCTTGATGAGTGTTGACATTTCCCCCATTTCGGAAATGGGATGTATCCTGCATGGACGCCGGATATGCACTATCACCCATGGAAACGCCTACAGCGTGGGATTCTTCCTTTTTCAGCGCGATTCGACAGGCGATCTGCGTTGACCAGACGAGTCCCAGCGCCGGGTTCTTCAGAGATCCACTCTCTGGGTATATGCCATCCCCCCAGCCAGAGTAGAAGCGCTCCTGGTGAGCGACGTTCAACATGCTATTACGTACTCGGGGAGAAATCAAGTACGAGCCGTCGAAGTTTTTATCGTCTGGTGCGTGGTATGGCGATGAGGAGATAGCGGGGAAGAGGATGGTGGCTGTTGACCATTCCTAGTAGCTAGCTGTTCAGTTCGGGATTTCGGGAAGGGAGAGACAGGGCCGGATCCACGACTTGGTGTTTGGCTCATGGATGGAAACCCTGTCCGTGAGGCTGGCTCGCTGCCTTTTAAAGACTCGAAGCGGTCGGAGACTTGGTTCGCGAGCACGATGGCGATGTCTTCCTTTACGGCGAGGTTGCGCAGTAGATGACCCAGTTTTGCGAGCTCGGATGATCGTTTGGCGTTGGCGTGGAGGCTGTTCGATTCGTGTTCAGCGCGGTAATTGGATGTTATTGAATCGATGATGACTAGGCCGATATCGTAACGTTCGATCGCGACGGGAAGATGGTAATTCAAGATGTGGTCTTGTGACTCCAGGTCCATGGCGTTGATGGATAGGATATCCTGCAGCGAGGGTGTCTGCTCGGCGGGGAGTGTTGAGAGGACAGGATGGCATTCTAGGATCTGCGAGAGTCGTGGCGTAGATAGCGGGTGTTCTGTTGATATGTATATTGCACGCCGTTGTAGACCCTGTGGTTTGGGTAGCTGGATGGCGAGGCAGAGGCTTAGGAGGAACTGGGTCTTGCCGCTTCCACTGGACATCGATCCACAGTCAGATGGACCTGCCTGTCGGGCTCATGAGGTTTGGATGAACACCTGCAACATACCTCTCACCCGTAACTTCTGTGACATACCCGGTCGGAATTCCGCCTCCTAGCAGTGCATCCATTGCAGGGTCAAGAGTGCTTATAGTGTTCCATTGTGACGCGCGCTTCGTTGAGCCGACTTTCCTGGTCGTCGCGCCAGGGTTTATACTAGAGCTGGGTCCATCGCTGGTCCCTGGATTTGTCTGTGGCTTTTCGAAGCCAACATCCGTGTGCAATGCCTCGACAATGCAGGAGGAGAGCCGGCGAACATCTGCGGGAGGTACGCGGGCACGTTTCGCGATCTCGAGTGAGTCGAGAGTGATCAGGTCAACAGTGGTGACTTTAGCTCGTTCAAGGGGAGGGAGGATGTGTGCGAATGGTTTTGTTACAAAGCCAGGTAAAACTAATAGAAGATCCATAGGAGAAGCAATATGGAAGTTGATCTTGACTCTACAATATAGACTTCGGGATTGTTCATGACATCTCAGCCAATCACAACAGGAAATAATAATATTCTGTCATTGGTCGATTCGAACCGTCGACGTGGGGAATCCCCACGTGACTACCGGATCACGTAGGACCAATTATATCCATACAAAATGACCCGCACCGTATAACCTCAATATAGGGTCTGTAAAGAGAAAAAAAAATAGGTAGCTTCTCTTTGATTATGCGTGTCATCCTTAGTGCAGGGGCCATGCTAATCTTCTCTGTATATTTTCAGTTGACCATATGCCCCGAAGGGCGAAATGTGTAGCCTTAAAGTTCGTTATAACCTCACTTTTCGGCAGAATTATACCGTCTTCAGTTGTATATAAGCACATGAAACTAGAGTAGTGCTGTAGCAATGGGGCTTTGTTCATGTTGTTAAGAAATTTTACCATATATCTATGTGGAATGGATTAAATTAGAACAAATTGTTGTGATTATAAAATGTGACATTGGGAAACTCATTGTACAATTTGCTTGTACTCCGTACAAAGCCGGTAGGTAGATGGTCCTCAACGCAACTCCAAGGTTTCCGAAAGGAGTAGTGGCAGAACCACCTAGGCAGTCACCGAGATGAATTAAGCATAATAGGAGTCGGAATTCGTGCGATTACTTCACGGCCATTCTTTGCTCGTAAAAGAAATACTTTGTTGAAGCCCCCCTCTACAAACTTAGTAATATTAGGGCAATAGTCTTATTATACTACTCCTCCGGCGACCCGTTAGAGCTCTATTAGCCGAAATTTGACGTATCTTTCGTTTAGATGATCCGTCTTGTTGAATCTAGTTAGAATCCAGTAACTACGATCAAAGCAATAATAGGATTTACATACATCCATCGTCGTGATATATTTCGAAATAATTCCTCACCGAATACTGGTGGAATGGTGGATAAGTGATGGTGGGTAAAATGGCGAGTCTTTGAAACAAATTCACTATTGTTCAAAAGCAGTAGAAGAAAATCATCGAGTCACGAATATGTTGCCCGGTGCAAGTTTATCAGTTGATGAAGGGAGCTACCCCTAGCGCCGGAGCGGCCCAGCCTGCTGGCTTAACTGCCAGTCAGCTGGGATTTGGTTGAAGATCCTCGTTTCTACCCGTGTGCTACAGCATATAGGCGTATGTATTGTATGCGACGATCTGAGTGCCGTTTGTTGTGCACAATACACTCCGTACGGAGTACAGAGTAGGTTATAACTGAGATCAAGTGTGGCTGATATTTATTTCTAAAAGTAACACGGAGACAACCTACGCCGTGTTATGGAATAATGGTACAGTCGATTCATCCTGATAGCGGCCGTATCGCACTAACACAAGTAAAGAGTAAAGGGAAGCGGGTCTCCCTAAAAGGAGAAAGTTTACATTCCAACTTTTGATACCCTTCGATCTCTTTAGCAGCCACTCACATGATAAAATCACCCTGCCGTCCATCCCAATCAAGGCAATCGTCCAAATGCAAAGAAGGGTCCTGAGCACTCCCATTATCGACCGCTTTGACAGGGGTTGCTCGGAGCCGAGACGGAAGGGAGCACAGAGTAGCATAATTCAGTCATAACAAGGGGAACACTTCAAGTTGCATATGTCCACGTGGATGCGAGAAAGACTCTTACTGAATACAGACAGTTGTTCCTACAATATATAATCGTTGAACTTGTGCACATATTCCATTATTGCATTAGGAAAGATAACTCAGGAGTTATTTGTAACAGCCAAGAAAGCCTGCCCGGCGCCAATGAAATTTCTGCAATAGAGTGATGAATCATTCTACGGAGTAGAAAATTAAAGCGCTGAATCATGGCAATGCCTATGATCTTCGGGGGGCTGGGGCTAGCCCACTAACGGCTGAAATCATTCAAGGACCGTATATAAGGGTTGCTTACGGAGTATGAAGTGCTCTTACGCGTACTTTTCGAAGTCGCTTTTTCTATCTTTCCAAGATTTCTCTATTTGAACTTATTATAATTGTATTTATTATTTTGATTATGTATGTAGATTATTGCCCAGTGAGTAACTGTTCGCATTGTGCCGCGAGGATTTCCAAACCCTGTAGCACATGGCTTAGTGGAGTTTGAAGCATTGACAAAGCTTGGACCGAGTGTGTACGACAGTACGGACGAAGAAACAGTGAAACATAAAGAATAAATAAGAAAACCAGGAGCACATTACTTATACAGATCATCGCCACAAGGAATTCTGCTGTACCGAGTTCACGTACGCCGGGTCTAAATTATATAGATCTCAAGTTGCATTGCATTATCACTTGGAATGACTTGAAAAATATAACTTTTTGTCATCTTCCCGTAATTATGGCCAAGAGGGATTCTGAGACGGATGGATCGACTATTTTGAGCTGATGCAGTAGTTTCTTATGGCCCGACTTCCCCGGTACTAAAATGTTCAAGGAGACCCAATTGAATATAACTACTCCGTACGGAGTATTCCGCGCCCATAAAGGACCTGTTTCGGAATATAACATGTATCATACTCTGTACTTGTTACTTCGTACTCCGTACAGCAGTGATAAAAAAGAGACGAATTCGAGTGTGCACATGAATAGAGCCGTTAGACCCAGGCCAGTGTGGAATTCCTCGCAAGATCCTGTACTTTGTACCTAAAGGGACTAAGTCTGCAGGCCCTAAAATGCAGCACGGAGTACTCCGTAGCTTTTCTCGATTTTTGTTTTATTCGGTCCGTTCTACTTTGAGCGTTTAGAATAAATCACCGGACAGGTATACAGTTAATAGGGCTGTACAGAGTACGGAATAGCTCGCCTGACTTTCATTCTTGACAGCATTCTCCATACGGAGAGTATGGAGTCATACCAAATAAGAGAAAAAGTACGGAGTATGCATAATTTATCCGCTTCATAAGTGAACCAGAAGATCACCCAAGTTCAGCGAAAAGATGGGTTTGCGGAATTAAATTCATCATCGAACTGTGCGCACATTGGATGAACAGCTGGCAGCTGGGGCAACTCCTGCCAGAAGCCGTCTAGACTGGTTTAAGACATCGCTGATTGGCTTGCTGGAGTCATACGTGAGTGGATCAGTGGTTCGATGGAGTTCGGCTTGAATGTCAAAGCGAATCACTGCGTTTTGACGATTGACAATCAATGTCTAAATTGGGAGGTCCATGTCGGGAAAGTTCAAAGTTCCAAGTCCGTTTGATTTTTATGTTTTTACAATGTTCTCAGGGGGGGCTAGACCGGTAATGAAAATACACGGGATTTGAAATTTATCAGAAGGATTTTTTCTAGTGAACTAACATTAATCCTACAACTTGTAAAACAGTGAGATCTTTGCAAGCAGATTGGCAGATTGATATTCATCTAGAGAAGGAGACAATATAAGCATACGACATTATGGAGACCAAGGAAAATAAAGGGACTCCGGTCCGTTGGACTGGGTTGCGGCCGGAACCTTGGAACCCAGCAAGATAAACGCCGGGTAACGTGGAGGTTCCATGGGAAAATAAATACCAGTTCTTTACAGCAAAAAAGCAATGAGATCTACAAATTGACATGTGTTGTCATCTTCTTATAGGGAATCTTCCTTCTTTCGGATTGATTTTGATTATATTTCCACTCAATGCTGTTATATCATTACATAGAGGTACTATTCAAACTGAAGACACTATAGGCATACAGTAGAGGACATCAATTTGACCTTAGATTAATGCAATACATGCATCCTTTCCTAAAGAAAAGATATTATAGGAATAGAAATTAGAAAGCAGAAAGCGGAAATATCAGAAATATCAGAAACAAGGAAACCATACACGGGAGCGAACAGGTACTTTTGTTCAATACCGCAATTACCCATAATCGGGAGGCGTACCCAGGGCTCGGGGTCTGTTAGTGTCACCGATTCCCACTCTGCCCCCTCTCCTCTTCTCTACTTCCCATTCACTTGATTCGAACTTGGGGTTTCCAGAATCTATTGGGATCGATTTTTGTTCATTTTCTGTATGTGTGGGGGATTGCCGATTTGACTACCCTGGAAGTCTTTCCAACGGCTTATGTGAAGCCAGGAACTAGGGGAGAAGAAGGCCATATCCCGCCAACATAAATCAGCACAACTCGCCCAAGGCCCCATTGATTCCGGATTGTACATTGCACTTTGTGGCAGAATCAACATACTACGACGAACCCCTCCGAACGATCGACCTTTGCCCATACTGCGACCGGCAGAATATCTGGGAATAACAACATCAATCCGCGAAAATGGCCAACAGACCATCCCTCATGCCGCCTCATAATGAGACTGAGCACTCAGTTAGCCGGATCACGCGTGAAGGCAAACAGCTCACGTACAAATTGAGCGTGATGCAACAACCAGAGCGGGCAAGAGCATGCGGCGCGGGAGCGAAGTGTCAGTATTTGCTATTGAGCCTAAGCAAGGCTGCGCGTTGACTGACCTTCCCAAATAGCATCCGCCGACCGTCGCCCTGTTGACCCACCCCCTGTGGTCGAGCTACGCATCTTCGAGTCCGACCCGGCTAATGATGCACAAAAGACCGATATCACCTTCGCCTACAATGCCAATTTCTTCCTCTATGCAACCCTTGAAACCGCACGCCCTATCGCCCACGGGCGGGTGGGGTGGACCACAGTCGTGCCCTGTATTAACCGGTGTTCCCGTCGCCGGTGTCGCATATCTCGATCGCCCTTCACAAGCAGGCTATTTCATCTTCCCAGATCTATCGGTGCGCCACGAGGGCCGGTACCGCTTGAGCTTCCACCTGTACGAAGAGATCAAGGACGCCAAAGATGCCGACAAAGATTCGACTTTGCCTCTTCCCAACCAAATACCTCTTTCCGCTACATCAAAGCCGGGCACCCCGCAAGCATTTCTTCATTTCCGTCTCGAGGTCAAGTCGGTGCCTTTTACCGTTTATAGCGCCAAGAAGTTCCCTGGTCTAGCGACCAGCACCTCTCTGAGCCGCATCATTGCTGAGCAGGGTTGTCGCGTTCGCATTCGTCGTGATGTTCGCATGAGACGCCGGGGCGACAAGCGAGATGAGGACTATGAATTCGGCGAGGAACGCGCAGCTGCGTATGCAAGATCGTCAGATCGTTACACGACACCCGACAGATACGCGGCTTCGATGGATCGCCCTAGATCGAACAGCAATGGCAGCAATATAGATTCACCTTACGGGTTTGTTCCCCCGGATCGACGACCATCTGCACCCGACTATGGCTTCCAGTGCCCGCAGCCCTATCAGAGACCCATGCCACCTGCACCCATGTCACACTCCCAAACACCCTCATACCAATCGCACCTTTCATTTGGCTCCACGCCTTCGCATTATCCGGCTCCTCACATGCCTCCTACGCCACCCCCGGTTGCCCCGCAAGGTATCTACTCCCCACAGCACGCATATGCCCAGATACGGCACCCATCCAACGGTTCCGAATACGAAGGAACACCCATTGCGTATCCGGCGCCTCAGATACCTGTCGAACGAGGTGGTTACCCCAAGCCTCCTATGAGTTCCTATGCCATGGATCCACCAAAACCAAACTCATACATGGATCCCCGCATGCCTGAACCAAGTCCATACCCATCCGCGCCCAATGTTCCGGTGTCCCGTTCTCAAACACCGAACTTGGTGCCGGCCATGCCGCCTCCCAAGCCTCTATCAAATGAATATGCCAACCATATTGTTCCTTCTGTGGAATGCACTTCACCCGGCGGCGGTGGCGGCGGCGGATATGACAACGTTAGAGGAAAGCGTATGGTATACCAAACTGGGCCAACATACGGCAAAAGGAGTCATGAAGATACTTTCGGACTTGATGACCGGTCAATGCAGAACGGCATGCGGCCTGATACCGAGCCTTATCCCGCTTATCGCGATTTCTCGGGAGAAAGTCGCGCTGCACTTATGGCTGAGATGGGTATTCAGTTATCCTACAAGCGTGCCAACGGCAAAATGGTCATGAAAGCTCCTCCGTCGAGTACATAAGACCTGGGATTGCCTCGAATATCTTGCCATAATAGCGGAAAACATGACATACTCTCCTTGGGCTTGTCTCGATGACCGAGTCTTGACCCGGTTAATGGACCTGATTCTTGTGATGGTATCTGATTGCATCTTTTTTGTACATAACTTATCTCCTGATTCCTCATTGAGGCTATTTGAGCCCTAGATTCGTTGATGCATTTGGACTCATCTCTTTGAGAACTCATTCTTTCATATTCCACTCTTTTGCGAGGAACCTCTTTGGTCAAGATTCGGAGTTATATAGGGGTTTGGCAGTGTTGCTATTCTTGCTCCCAGCCTCAATGATCATTTATGTTTGACACAGCCATCGACTTGCATCTCGAATTTCATCTTCATCAAAAGCAAGGTGCCTCGTTCCTGTCATCCCAGATCGGAACAGAGAATGTCACTCCTATCTCGATTCTAGCTAGGATGGTCTTCTAAATTTCTCAGAGCATACTTTCAGAACAGTCAACCGGCTTGTCTCATTCACGTTGTGATACTGGTTTCCTTAACCCCTGCTGCTTAATTTGCTCTTTGTACTGGCGTTGTCGCGTCCTCTTGATACCTAGCATTTCTATTTTACCTGATCCAATCTACATGTATGATTTGCGATTTTCAGAATACATACCTATGTAGAGATATCCACACTTTAGTAGCCAAGTGTTGTCAATCCATACATGTACATATCCATGTCTCGGTTGGATATGTCATATTCTACATTCCTCGAATCCAAGGCATATGTCTGAGACAGCGAAATTCCATATCGAAGTCCAGGTTTTATAGATATACAGATATACATATTTGTACTTTGTTTGGGGATATGGTACATTCTGATGATGTAACTGGTACTTTATCTATCACAACAGATTGGCGGTAGACGTGGGTACCAGGTACCACAACAAACTTCCCCCCTTGGCAAGTGCGGAGTATGTAAACAAACCTGATCACCTTAGAGTCTCCCGAGATTTTCATTTCGATTTTCATTTCTTAGCTTCATTGCTTACCTTCATTTCTTAGCTTTCTTCCCTTAGCACTCAACTACTTTTCTATGCCAGATTCTAACAGACTTTTGCGACATCTTTCCAAGGGCGTGGGGAAAAAAAGGATAAGCTGCAAAGGTAAGGTCCCCTTGTCATAACCCCCATGAAAGGGATCTCAACGCATAAAAAGGATTGAACCTAACTTCCCTACGCAATATCAGTGCCCGCGACTCCAAAATGGAAATGGACATCGACCCGAGCCCCGCACACCAGCGCACCTCGCGCAAGCACCTACGCTCTAGCGACGACGAGGACTGCGATTGGAGCTCAGACATCTCTGGACAATTCGACGATGCCGAGGAGGCGCACCCAGATGACCACCGGTCTCCGGCAGGAAACCTAGCCAAACGACGTCGCTCGAATGACTGGCCGTTGCCCGAGGAAGCCGCTGATTACGGAGCCCATGATCGCCGCGCCCAACGGGGTGAAAACGGAAGTCTCAGCACGAGCGGAAATGGTTCAGGCTACAAGTCCTCGCCCCGCGCTTCACCCCGCGGATCGCTCGCTTCGCTGCGCGCTCGCCATGCTGCGGCATCTGCTTCTAGCTCCCGTCGTCCCAGAGGACGGACATCGCGATTCGTCGAAGCGACTATGAATGATAGTGTGAGCGAGAAACCGCCCAGTATCTACTTTCAGGAGGAAAACAAACAGCCTGGCATTCAGCACCGCTCGTCTGGTATTTTTCGTTTTGGGAAGGCTATTGCTTCGGCGTTTAATCCCTTTGGTGGATGGGGGAAGAACTCGGAGGGTTCGCCTGCTAAGTCGCCGCAGAAGGATGTCATCAATCAGGCGGAGCAGGCCTATGCGGAATTGAAGAAGGCTGGCTACAAGGGTACGAATAAGGGCCATTATACTGAGAGTCTTGGTGTCAGCACTACCCTCGCCGACCAGACCTGGCGGTCCATACAGCACAAGATGGAATACGGTTCTCCAGCCAAAGGTTCTCCAGTCAAAGACCCGTATCGTCACCCAATTGAACAAGGGAACCATGGTGCACCTTTACGGTCTGAGTCCTCGGCTTCCAAGCGCTCCTCTCTTCAGGATCTTCGCCTAGCCAAGTCATTCTTCAAATCCCATGGATCGCCATCTGCTTCGCCAGCAGTGTTTTGCGATAGAACTTCCGATGAATACGAGCAAACTGGACTGCGCAAGCAACCCTCCCGCAGGGAACTCTCGCGCCAGACCAAACTGCTCAAGAAAGTTAGCAATCTCGAGGACAAGCTGCAACGTGCCCGGCAAGAGCTCCGTGAGCTCACAGGCAACGAGGAGCGGCTCCCAGCACCTATGACTCAACCAAAACCCATCAATACCGAGATGGATCCCGCATTGTTCCCAAGGAAGTTTGTCCCTGGTGCCCTTCCCACTCTGCCGTCGGAAAGGCTTCTAGATCAACAGGCCGCAGAACACGAGGCGTCTGGATCTGAAGCGGCCAATCTGACAGCCCTACCATCTGTGGAAAGCCGCGAAACTTTCTCCTTTGAAGAATCACGACCGCCTCACACCCCGGCTACAAGCCAAAGTCCAAAATGGCGCTCGAAAGGGACACAGCCGTCGTCAATGGGTAAGGACCGCTCCTCCCGTAAACGGAAGTCTTCCATTCCTGAATCTATCGATAGTGGGAACCCTCTTCAGCCCAGTCCGACGAAAGGCATCGACGATCAAGAACGCGGTCCCGAACTCAATGTTCTGATTGACTCCGGTCTACTTAGCCCACCGGGAAAAGCGAAATGGCCGAAATCCGAGGCCGGCGAGAGCCCCGGCTCAGCCAAGCGCAAGCAGGCCACCGACCACGCAGCTCCCCCGAGCGAGCACGAAGAGAAGGATACGGGAGGAAGTACAAGTGCCACGCGCAACATCAAAAGGTCCCCCCTACGTTCAACCCCGAAAAGTCTCCGGGACCACGCGCTCACCAAGTTCCAAGCCCACAACCCCTACCCGCATGAAAAAGAGCCAGACCAATAAGCGCCCAGCCTCTTCTCCTGCCGCTGCCTCGGACGATGATTCGCGTTCCAATATCTGGTCTACGCCTCTGTCTGCTCCGCCAAGTAACTCCCACCGCGAAGCCTTCTACCACCACCCACAGCGCCAGCTCAATCCTGACCGTAGCCCTCGCACCCCGACACGGTCGAAGACGTCTCCTAGTCGCAGGCGGTCCGGATATCTCCGTGACGATGATATTCCGCCCGTACCGCCTCTCCCTGAAGAGCATCGCTCGAGTGCTGCTAAGGTCAAGGTCGATGTGAATAGGTCGCCTAAAAAGAGGCCTGTGTCTGCTCCAGTGATTTCTCCTTCGTCGGCTTCTGTTGGGGATTCTGTGATTTCTGGCCTTGAAGATTACCAATGGCCTGAGGATATTTTCTAAGGGCTTTCGGTTATTTTCTTATGAGGAATGATGCTTATGAGGTTTCTTTATGTTGGTTGGTTCATTTTTATCATAGCTGTGCGAGGTTGTGTATTTGGTTGGTGGTCCCTTTTGGTTGGTGGTTTTGATTTCTCGCGGTCTTGGTCGTCGTGATGTAACGAAGTAATGAATTTTATACCCTTGTGGATTGTCTTCACTACCCTTCTAAGTCCATCTTCTCGCCTAAAGCAGATTGTGTTCTCTATATGGGGTTTTCACACATATCACGTCTCTCGGCTCTCTGTAGACCAATCCTATACCATGGAGCGCGGTTTTATAAACCCTCAATCCTGATGTAAGGCAGTATCCTTGGGCAAGATTAACCAGCTCACACCAGCGGCACCGAGCAAACCAACGAGCATGGGTTGCAGGACCTTGACACCAACCTTTCCCGCGATGATGCCCGTCAAAGCGGGAAAGACCGATCCGCCGATTTGACCAAGTACGAAGACAAATGCTATGTGGAGTACAGTTAGAATAGAAATGTAGACCCCAGGGATTCCAAGGCCGTGAGGTCAGCTTACCGATTGCCGAGGAGCGGATCTCTGCTGAGAAGATCTTTGAGCCGACCGATATACCCTAAGCTGGTTAGAGTTGGAATCAGAAAAATACAGTAGTGGACACTTACTGTTGCAAAGAAAGGACCAGAGAAGAATCCCAGTAGACTGACTGCTACTGCCTCGGTGATAATATTTGGGACGCTGGTAGATCACTAGTATTAGTACAGACAAAGCAGGATACCGGTATATAGATGGGATCTTGGAGATATTGCCAAACTCACAGCCAGAATACCAACTGCAGACCCACACACAGCAGAGCGTATAAGAAGATCATCCGACGCTCGCCGAGTCTATGCGTAGGCTCAGCGAGGATAAGACGTCCTAGAAAGGCGCCCCCATAGAAGCCAGCTGGGACATAACCCATTTCTTTGACATCGCCGTTGCGAACGTTGACAAGGTACTCGACCATCCAGCCTGATATAATCAGTTTCACAGAACAAGCAGAGAAACAACAGAAGACATACCTCCAGCGGTAATAGTAGCACCAAGAAAGAAAAAGAAAAACAAACTCAGCAGCCAAACCCCCGGAGTAGAAAGCGTATCTTTGATCTCCTTGAGCGCAGAATTCGAAGCAGTCCTGTCCCCCCTCCGCCCCCTCACAGTCGGAGCAGCCATACGATCCCGGAAAGAACCACCCACAAACGCAAGATTCACTACACCCACGCCAAGCGGGAAAAGATAAAACAAATACCACTTCGAATCGACATTCGCCGACGCCACACCCGTTGCTACGAAGGGTCCAACCAGACACCCGGCCATGTACATAGCATGGATAAAGCCGAGCCAGCGGTGCGCGCCGTTCAGCGCCGAGACGAAGGTGTTAGCGTGGGTGTCGTTGTAGGCTTGGCCCAGACTGGCTAGGAAGAATGTTACCGCGTACAGTGCGAATGGGGGTTCCCAGACACGCAGTACTTGGGCTAGGACTTGGATGGCGGCGCCTAGACTGAGGATTGGGCCTAGGTCTAGGTATTGGGTTATTTTGCCGTTGGTTAGGGCGGCGACTAGCCAGCCGAAGAAGGTTGTGCCGTATCTGGCGGTGTTAGTGTTGTATTGGAGATGAATATCCTTGGTCTGGTCTTACAGCACGGCTACCATGTTCGTGCCGATGTCGTAGGTGCGTATCACGTAGGGAATGAGTGATCCTAGACTTCCGTCGTTGACTCCCGCGACGAAAAAGGATAATCCTGCGCTGAGGATTTTGGCATACATCCATTTTGGGTCTGGGGGTCTTGAGTCTTGTGTTGTGTCATTCTCGGCTGGAGTCGCTTCGGTGGAAGCTCTTGTCTGCAGCACGATCGTCTCTGTTTGTGTCTGGGTGCTCATGATGAAATGGGGAATCCGGTGTCTTGGGTAAGACCGGAAGACGGAAGTGTACCCTTTTCTTTTAAACAGGAATCAACAAGATTGCGGAAGTTCAATATCAGAACACGAGAAAACATGGAGAAATGCGGAGTTGGTTAGCTCTGGGGCCGGAGTTCAGCCGAACCCCCAGGATTATCGTGGTCAATAACCCAGTGCCTTCAAGTTATAAAGATGAAGTGATCTCATCTGATATCTATTTCTAACCATAATCCCCTTAAAAATGTCTATGAACTTTTTAAATAGTAAACTACTGTATAACATATTTTAGTGTTGGACACCGCACTTGATATATATGGTTAAAAACAGCCCTGGGAGACTGGAGTTGCGATAAAGGAGAAAGCTAGTTTACATTCAACTGGATAGTAAGACTGGTTCAAAGTAGTGTTGCCTTGCGCTGACACTTGAAACACTTAAAGTAGCACCCTCAATATACCGCAAATTCCATCTAAAGAATAGCAGTCGCATTCGCATGGGAACCAACTCCACCTACAACCTGTTAGCATAGAAACCCAGCCCCAAGCCCCACAAGAAAGATACATACCTGGCATATTGGCCGGAGCACTAGTCATAAAGAAAGACCACTTCCCCTCGCCCGACACTTCTCAGCGAGGATATCCAAATCCCACATCTCGCCAATAGGACACCCCCACAGCGCCAGCAGACTCTGATGCAAATAGTCTTGCTCAGGAACAGGCCAAGACTCAAACGTCGGCGAGTCACCCGCCACAGCCGCAAAATAGCAATCATGCAGCCAATCCCGGATAGCCGGCTCGCGCGACAGTCCCGCAAAACACAAGTCCTCATGGGACCGTGTCGCAGCTGCGTACCGCTGCTCAGAACTGAGCTCGTAGTATCGCTCCACGAAGCCGGAGCGGACCAGTAGAATATCTCCGATGCGGATGTCGCCGCCTTCGGACTCTGGACGTAGATCCAGGCCTTGTGAGGTCGCGCATGCTTGTAATTCTGATAGAGTAATGCTGTGTGTTGTGTATGGGTCATAGGGCTTATTGTGTGTTTTGGCGTAGTGGTAGTAGTCCAGGAGGATTCCTCGACCGGCGATTCCGTGTGTTGCCCAATGGTGGATGCTGCAGCGGTGGTTTGCGGTTTCGCCTACAAAGTCGCGGCTTTTGGCCTATGGATTGATGGGTTAGTGTCCGGAGATGGAAAATGGGAGCTTGGAACACACCCCATTGTAGAAACACTGGCTATCAATGTGACCGAACTATGGACGTATTAGACCGGTGTAGGAGTGGTGGCTTTGGTTGTTTTAGAGGGAATAATCACTTACATGCCGGAATCCATCCCACTGCGTCCCGCTCTGCGTGTTCATAATGTAAGTATCGTCATAAGCAACGCCATCAACAAGCGTTTTGATGTTATGCTGGAACACCTCGCGGTCAAAAGCCGGCTTCTCGGGCACCGTGAGAGGAAGACTTGATGTTGACACTTGTAAGCCGGGATTGTAATCTGGCGTAATCTAATAGTTCACTAAACTTACTCCAGGCGCACCATCTCGCCAGTATCAATCTCAGCAATAGATGCCTTGACCCGCTGCGGCGTCAAGAGGTTCAGTCTGCCCACCTTTTACATCAGACAAATTAGCCACCTGGAACAGAACATATGAACAGGAAATGGTAGCATCATACCTCATCATCTTTGCCCCAGACCCAAGCGGCACCGTCGGGTGCACCAGGAAGCTTTGGGAGATCCTTTCGCGAAGGGAACTTGGTGCTGTTAGGGTTCCAAGGTAATTGGTTGGCAAGTTGAGTGGAGGACGGCATGGGGTTATTCTTAATGTGACTCGATATGGCAGAGAGCCTGGAAACACTGCTGGACGCCATGGGGGAAGAGGAATATTGGATATACAACGAGGGAAGGGGAACAAGAGATTAAAGCCCCAATTTCAGACACTTTCTGACACTTTATGTAGCACAGTGACTGGACAGTGACTGGAATAAAAGTTACCTGTTACACACATGGCGGGGCGAAGTTTATAGTGGAATCATTGGGCAGAGACCCCAATTGTTGGCATATTGGAGCTATCTCAGCTAGGATGTATGGACACAAGTCTCCACATAGATAGTGGAACATTGCAGTGTAATGTGATTCTCTATTAGCAAGCTATAAGAAGCGGTCAGTACAAAACAAAGGAGTGATGTATGATGGTATGATGTATATGATGTATCAAGGGGAGAGCTCACAACCAAGATCTGTTGTATGTGGAGACAGATAATTCTCCACAGTTGGGACCCACCGAATGACGTCTGGAAGTATTGATTGGGCACCAGATGGAGTACGATCTAGGATGGCTGCTTTTAGGGTCCTTGGCTCCGATGAGTGAGGAGCGAGAAGTCTCGATGCAGCGAATTACAACGCTGTATTCAGTGTTTACATTATGTAGATCTACGGAGTACATGTATGTTGTACAAAGAAACAGATTCGAAGGCCATTTGGCCTCGTTTTTGCCTTTTTCATTTAGGTCATGTGGGGGGTTTTTCTCCCTAGATGGTTTACACATAATAACGATATCTGCTCTATGCCGGCGAGCTCGACAGATCATGGTGCATTCGCCACTTTCTGCACAGTGAAAACATGACAAGAATCCACCAGATCCAGGAATTTCAGAAGACGCTGCAGAAAGGGTATGCGTGGCAGATGGAAAAAGAAAAGATAAACAATAAACAATAAAGAGAAAATAGAAAAAAAAAAACACCCATAATTGCTGTTGCGAAAAAATATCGCATGGCCAACCCAGTATGCCCCCGGTCCCAGTTGCCATTGCGCCGAAGAGACTAGAAAAGATTCAAGTGTGATTATTCGTTTCGGTCATAGGTCTTGCCACCCAAATATGAAAACAAGATAGCAATCATCGCTAGAAGGACATGTAATCAAAAGGGATCTCGATCAACCCTGGGATGGAACACCAGTGGACTCCGAGGGGACCCGGCCACCCCGACCCCGGCCGTAGCCACGACTGTAACCACCTCGACCACGGCCATAGCCGCGGCCGCGGCCACGACCGCGGTAGTTGGGGCGGTAGCCGTCAACGCTGCCCTGTCCGAAGGTTTCCATATTGCGTTTCTCCTCCTCGCCGCGCCATTCACGACCTCCGACACGAGTGGTGTTTTCCTCGCGATCGCGAGCCTCACTCGAGATATTGTCGAAGAAGGAAGAACCACGGTTGTAGCCATGGTTGGCAACCACGCCGGCGTTTGACAAGGATTCCATGGATTCTGCCTCCTCCGCTGCATGGGCCTCGGCTTCAGCAACAGGCACTCCAGTGGCAATGGCCTCCTTCACCAAATCCTGCTTGTTGAACTTGGCGTTCGCCGTTTGGAAATCGTAATCCGATTGGGGGACTTCGATTTTTTTGGCCTGGTGCTGAGGACGAGCACCGCCGCGACCACCACGAGGGTGGTGGTGACCGCCTCGGGCAGGACGGGTGTTGTCATAAGGGCGCATGTTGTTCATCTGCTGCGTAAGCGCGTCCACTGCACCTTCGGGCTGTCCAGCTTGCTTTTGAGCACCAGGCTGCGGCAACTTGGCCATGGCCGCAGCAACGGCAGCAGTGGCGGCGGCAGTGGCATCGGTGATAGACTGGTTATTTCCCCGAGGGGCGCTAGGAATGTGGGCGGCCGTAGGAGCAGGCTTTGGGGCCGCGATCGGAATAGCTGGCATGACTCGGCCATTCTTTTGAGGGACAGCAGCCAGAGGAGCAGAACTGGCAGGGCCTTGCAAAGCTTCAGATACAGTGGGCTTGGACTCGATTGGAGGAGTGGGGGCGTTCTGAGCAGCTGGGGGTTGCGTTACCGCTCGTAGACTTGTTGGCAAGCTTGTCCCCGACCGGGAGTTCGGAGGTAGGCTTAGGTGCCGGTGGGGCACCGGGAGGTCCCGGGCGCTGAGGTCCAGGTTGCTGAGGGCCAGGCTGTTGAGGTCCAGGTTGTTGACCAGGGCCAATGGGCATCGGGGGCTGGAATTGACCGGGCCCAGGAGGGAATCCATGGCCTGGAGGGGGGGTACCATCCGGGCGGAGCACCATACGGCGGAAAACCAGGACCGGGAGGGAATGGAGGAGGTGGTCCAAATCGCTGTCCGTAGGGAGGGTAGAAACCTTGCTGGAATTGGTGCTGCGGGGGGTAACCGGGAGGAGTAGGACCGGCTCCCTGCGGCAGCTGGGGAGGGCCCTGGGGAGGAAGATTCTGTGGAGCAGGTCCCGGGTCAGGCCCTTGGCCAGGAACAGGTCGTTGCGCGCCCTGTTTGCACTAGTCAGCACACTGCATACACAATGACACATAAAAACAAGTCCAAGATGGGGAATTGATCATCAGAAGGAAGGCAACGGAAATCTCTACACGATTTTGCGCATTCAGAACAGGTCTGTGAGTTTACATCCGAGAATTTTTCGTCACTTGATCAATTCGCCGAGGCAATGGGCGTGTGGTTCGTTGTGCCGGATGACGTGGTGGATCGAGGAAAGAGCTGTGGTGACTTACCCCGAGAATGGCAGGGTCTTCTGGTACCCGAGGTGCTTCTTGCGGTGCGGGCTCCTTTTGCTCCTCCCCAGCAATGCTGATGTCCTTCACATCACTTCCTCGAAAGACAATGTACTCGTACACACTGGTGGAGGGGGGGCACTTCTTCAGCGGGGTTGCCACGGCGCCCTTCTGAGCCGAATGACATGACATTCTCAAGAGCTATCGTGGAAGCTTCTGGGTTGATTTCGTGGAGAGTACCGACATAGCTGGAAGACAATTAATTTGCGTACAAGGCAATTGAGAGACTTGATAGGACCCACCGAATATCACTTTTCGAGATCAGGTTGAAACGCTGACTGCCAGATGTTAACTCCCGGCCACCTTCGCTCCGAACAGGTTCAGACTGACCCTATGAGGTGGTTCATTTCCATGGCAGCTGTGCGCGATATCGCGCGGGGTAAGCAAAATGAAGATACGGTGGGAATGAATAGGAAAACGGAGAGATCTGAAGAGACGAGATATGAGGTTGGGAAGAGAAGGGAAGGGAGAAGAAACGCAAATTCTGTGGTTTTGTGGAGGATACGGGCTACGGTGGACGACGTAAGCTCAGATAGCAATTTTGGAGTTGGCGGGGGAGAAGTTGATGGGGAAAAATGAGAGCTGCTCTTTACGTTTGACTTGACTTTTTAGAGACTTGAGACACGATGACGACATCTTCAAACCGAGATCATTTCTTTCAGACATCGTGAGTTGAAACAAATCTTTGGTCTTTGAACCGAAAAGTGTTAATTGACATTCCTCACAGTGCATCTTTGGATGAGCAAAAGCGGAAAGATGCAAAGTCCCAGAACACCAATGGCAACCCTATTCGACTGCAGGCCAAGATCCTAGCAGCTCATCCAGACCCCTGGAATACTGGCTCAATCTATGTCGCGCAAAGCAATGGCACTGTGAGAAGGATCATCCTTGCCGTAAGTGCATATGTAATCTCGAAACTGTCTCAATCTGAAGTTCTCACAACTCTACAGACAGGAGAAACAGCTAGGGCATTTACAGGTCCTATGGCCCCCCTGACTAGTCTTTGTTTGAGTCCCGATGGCAAGCTCCTGTTTGCCGGTTGCTGGGACAAAGCTATTTGGAGCTGGGACACGGCCACGGGCCAGCCGCGCCAGAAATACGAAGGCCATGCCGATTTTGTTCGATCAGTCACCAGTGCAAGACTACTAGGGGACGACCTGCTCATCTCTGGTGGTGCCGATGCGCAAGTCCTGGTGTTCAATATCGCAAGTGGTGAGCGGTTGGAGACCTTCAAGGGCCACTCTCGCGGCATTCAGGACCTTGTCCTTGACCCAGAATCGGAGGGCACCCAACCGATCGTATTTACCGCAGGAAGTGACCGAGAGATTCGCCAGTTCAGTATTTTTGGTGGGGGAAGTACTACTGACCCTCTCCTTCCACATGACACTAGTGTCTACAAGCTCTTTTTCGATAATGACGGTGATCTCTGGACTGCTTCGGCTGACAAGACTGCCAAGTGCTTGGTTCGACAGGATGGATGGAAGGCCAATCTGACCCTACAGCATCCTGACTTTGTCCGTGATGTTGTCGTCTATGAAACTGGAGGCTGGGTCGTGACTGCCTGTCGGGACGAGGAGGTTAGAGTATGGAACCGGTCGGTAAGGGTTTTTCTCTTTTTCGGTCTGTCTATGGCATATATGCTGATTAAAACAGACCGGAGCACTCCATCATACTTTCTCTGGCCACTTCGAAGAGGTCACTGGGCTTGTGCTTGTAGGGTCAACCATTGTCAGCGTGGGAATTGACGCGACTATTCGCCAATGGTCCCTTCGACCTGATGAACTTCAGAAAGCAGTGGAACTTGCAAAGAAGCCCACAGAAGAGGAGAAGGAGCAGGAAAAGCCAGCCGAATCAATGCTAACAGCGGAGGAAGAGGCAGAGTTGGCAGAGCTAATGGGAGACGATTAGATGATGTGATACCCTATTATGTTTTGAGCATGTGTAAACCTAGCAGAGACATGTACAGTGCACCGAATACCATACAATATAGACTACAAAACTGTCCACAATATACAATGTTCCTGCAACTGCATAGTATATATCACGTGACATTCCTGATGCAGCCATGACGCACAGGGCCGATCTCCCGCGACCTCGACCTTCGCCTCGACTCCCCCGCCTAAATGGCGCTGGCCCGCACACGACTTTATCCTTCAAGACACGCTCTAACCCGCTTCAACACGCCCCAACCCGTTACAACCCGGCCCATTTGTCTCCTATTTAAGAGATACTATTTGTGCAGCCATCTATACCCCATCAAGACTTGATCGCACGTGGGGTAGCTTCTAAACTTCCAAGGTCGGGTGTCGAGGTACGTACTACCTATTGGAACCTGCAAGTAACCCCCCTTGGGCCTCGGGTTGACGGACGTCTAATCTCCGACCAGCAAAAGTATTAGAAATCCAGTCACAATGGCCGCCTCGATTAACCACTCACATCCGCGTCATGATGTACCAGACACAGGTCCAAAAATGGTCAATCGCTTGCACCAAAGCAAATCCCCTTATGTGAGAGACGTGCTACCTTGATATAAATTGCAACATGCTCACGGAACAACAGGTCCGAGGACATATGAATAACCCGGTAGCATGGCAAGTCTGGGATTTAGAAGCTATGGAGCTTGCCAAGAAGCACAATCGTTTGATCTTTCTTAGTATCGGTTACTCCGCATGTCATTGTAGGTCCCAACCACTCTAAGTGAGGGTATCGGTATTCTAATCTTGTCTAGGGTGCCATGTCATGGAAAAAGAATCGTTCATGTCATCAGAGGTGGCCTCGATTCTGAACGAATCGTTCGTCCCGATCAAGGTTGATCGCGAAGAGCGACCTGATATCGACGACGTCTACATGAATTATGTCCAGGCCACAACTGGTTCTGGTGGCTGGCCCTTGAATGTGTTTTTGACTCCTAACCTTGAGCCCGTGTTTGGTGGCACTTACTGGCAAGGCCCAAATTCAACCACATTTAGGGGCCCCGAGGCAATCGGATTTGTGGAGATTTTAGAAAAACTGAGGGATGTCTGGCAGACACAACAGCAACGTTGTCTCGACAGCGCTAAAGAAATTACCAAACAATTGAGGGAGTTTGCCGAGGAAGGGACGCACACGCAGCAAGGTGACCGGGATAATGATAAGGACGAGGAGATGGATATTGAGCTTCTAGAAGAAGCGTATCAGCATTTCGCATCTCGATACGACTCGGTTAATGGCGGGTTTGGCCGCGCACCCAAATTTCCTACCCCGTCCAACCTCAGCTTCCTACTCCGGCTCGGTGCCTACCCGACCCAGGTCATGGATGTTGTGGGGCACGATGAGTGCGAACAAGCAACCGCGATGGCTGTCACGACGCTAGTGAATATGGCTCGTGGCGGAATTCGGGACCACATCGGCCACGGATTCGCACGGTACAGCGTGACGGCGGACTGGGGTCTCCCCCATTTCGAGAAGATGCTTTATGACCAGGCACAGCTATTGGATGTCTATGTGGACGCTTTCCGGCTCACTCATGACCCCGAGCTTTTAGGCGCTGTCTATGATCTGTCTGCCTACTTGACGAGCGCCCCGATACAGTCGCCCACCGGAGGGTTCTTTTCCTCGGAAGACGCCGACAGTTACCCTCATCCAAATGATACCGAAAAGCGGGAGGGTGCCTTTTATGTCTGGTCGTTGAAGGAACTCACTTCAGTCCTCGGCCCTCGGGATGCTCCAGTTTGCGCCAAACACTGGGGTGTTCTCCCTGACGGCAACGTTCCACCCGAGTACGACCCACATGATGAGTTCATGAACCAAAACGTGTTGTCCATCCGTGCGACGCCGAGCAAACTTGCTAAAGACTTTGGTCTTAGCGAGGAAGAAGTGGTTAAGATTATCAAATCGTCAAAGCAAAAGTTGCACGATCACCGCGAACGGACACGTGGGCGGCCAGACCTGGATGACAAGATTATCGTGGCCTGGAATGGATTGGCGATCGGTGCGCTTGCCAAGTGTAGTGTTCTGTTTGAGGAGATCGAGAGCTCGAAGGCTGTGCATTGCCGCGAAGCGGCAGCACGAGCAATCGGCTTCATCAAGGACAAGCTCTTCGACAAAGCCACGGGACAGCTGTGGCGCATTTACCGCGATGGAAATCGCGGAGACATCCCGGGTTTCGCCGACGACTATGCATATTTGGCTAGCGGGCTGCTCGACATGTATGACGCTACTTACGACGACAGCTATCTTCAGTTTGCTGAGCGACTGCAAAGTGAGTGAATAACCCCCTTGCTTTTAACAGGATTTAAATGGCTAACTTGGTGATTCTAGAGTACCTCAATGAATACTTCTTGGCCCAGAGTGGCTCTACAGCTGCCGGATACTACAGTACACCTTCCGTCACCACCCCTGGCATGCCTGGACCGCTCCTCCGTTTGAAGACCGGCACCGAGTCAGCAACACCTTCGGTAAACGGAGTTATTGCGCGTAATCTACTGCGCCTATCCGCCCTGCTCGGGGATGAGAGTTACCGGACCTTGGCCCGGCAGACGTGCAACACCTTCGCGGTAGAGATCATCCAGCACCCCTTCCTGTTCGTAGGAATGCTGGACGTGATCGTGGGCCTTCAGATTGGTACTCGCACGGTGACGGGTGTGTTCTCCACCGTCGATGTCTCCTCGATTCCTGATCCACGTGGCGACTCTCCCCTCAGTCGGAATGATGAGCCCGTGTCGGCACTCGACCTAATCCGGCGACGGGTACGGGCCGAGGCCGGCGTGGCCGTGTCCTCGTCTATCGTAGTCACTTCAATTGTCGACATTCGCCCCTCACACCTGAAAGACTTTGTGGGGAATCAGTCCTTCTGGCTTAAATCCCGAAATGTGCTCTTTCAAGATTTAAAGGCCGCTGAGCCGGCCAAGAACTATTTGATGGTTTGTGAGACTGGGCGATGCCAAATTATTGATCTCTAGGCGAGCGCTATGAGTTTTTGCAATCAGTTTTCTTTCGATATTAATATCAGGAGTGTTTTGTGGCGTTCTTTGACGTTTGGTTGGGTATTGCACGCTTTACGTTTTACGTTTTACATTATTCCAGAGCGGACCCCTGCCGTCCTTCTAGACTGTGGACCCTGGGCTCAAATGCCGAAAAGGTGGATGTGCATGTTGAAGACTAGAATCTACCGACGGAATACGGAGTACTCCGTACTAGTACAGCCTCAGCCGAGGTGATCATACAGGTAGAACCAAAAATATGATCCATGGATGTTTTGGACTTTCCCCCCTAGAATGTATACGCGCCCTGTCCCACCACAACCCGTGGATGCTGCGCCAAAGGGCGTCTTGCTCTGATTGGTTGTACCAGCCATGATATTGGTTTTGCTCTTCCGCTATCATGACGATCTATGGCAAAATATTGGAAACGGCCTGAAACTCAAAAGCCCAAACAAAAAGAGACAGTTCTGATTTTGATGTCGGGTACTCCGGAGAATACTTTGATCCCGTTTTAAATGAGTGGCTGAAACGAGGTTGATTGATTTAATCTATGTCAGATCCGCCCGTTCAGACTACCGAATTGGCCTCTAAGCCAAGTTTCTTAGCGGGATAAGCGGGTGTGCAAGTGGGGATGTTTGTTTTTCTAAGAGCTCTTGTGATTGGCTGTTAAAGCTACGAGTGGATACTACCAAAGTTTGAAACTGTGCCTAAGGGGCTTCTTAATGTCCCCTGGCTTCGATCACACAAAGATCTCGATTTGAGTCTTTTCACGGCAGTACCGTAGTACGGAGTACGGAGTACTCCATACTGCTTTTGACGTGAATCCCACGGTACTTTTAATTACTTTATTTCCCTTGTCGCTTCTGATTAGCAGTACGGAGTACGGAGTACGTACGACGGAGTATATACTCCATAATATACTCCATAATGGTCCAGACGATACATCCAGGGGACACATCACACATCATACCCTAATTCTTAATTTCATCGTTTTTCTATTGCCTTTTAATATATCCATATCCTTAATACTTTAAACGAGATTACAGAAATCTTGGAAAATATTTGCTTATCCAAAATCACCAGCCTCATATCAGTGTATCTAGGGCTTGGAATGTATGTTGTACTACACAACGTGCCACACTGAGGTATGTTCAAATCTCAAGAGGCTGGAAATTGTCAAAAGGAAAGAGAATAAGTACAGGAGAAAGCCATTGAAATTGTTCAAATAGAATAATTTATAAAATAATTACAGCCTTTGTGCCTCCAAGTTCATTTGGACTTCATTTAAAATTAATATCCTCCCTACTCGCACGGGCCCACTCCTCCTCATCTCCCCTTTCTACATTATTTACATTATCCTCCTCTTTCCTCTCCCTTCCTCTCCATCCAATCTTTTCAGCCTGCATCTTATCTTTCTTTCACTCCTTGAAGAAAGAAGGTGTTTCGAGGCCTGCCATTCATTTATCTCCCCAACGTACACACTCCTTTGTCAACGCAGTCGATCTGCTTGACCCCAATCCCGACTCTCTCTTAACAAACTTCCTGGAGAAGTTTCTTTATCTTCAATCCCAAAATGCGTTCTGCTGTCATCCTTGCCGCCTTGGCGGTCGGCACCTGTGCCAGGGTTATTGAGAAGGAAGTTTATGTGACCGAGTGGACTACCACCACCGTCACCGAGACTGTCACCCAGTGGCCCACCAACGCCCCTAGCACTGCTGTTTTGGTCAAGCAGGACCCCACCAAGCCCGCCAACGCTGCCATTCACACTGCCGACATTTCCAAGAAGACCACCGTCGAGTCCGTCCCTCCTGCGGCACCTACTCCTGCTCCAGAGGTTGAGCCTGCTGAACCCAGCAGCGCGACCACCTGGTCTTCCACCTGGTCCTCGGCCACCGAAGCTGAAATCCAGCCTGTGACCTCCTCTGCTACCTCCTCGGCTGCCCCCGTCGCGACCTCTTCGGCAACCTCGACCACCGCCGCTGCCACTGCCGCTCCCAGTGCTGCCAACTCCTACCAGGAGTCCGTCCTGCACTACCACAACATTCACCGCAGCGACCACTCTGCCAGCGCTTTGACCTGGTCCGATGACCTTGCGCAAGCTGCCCACACACTCGCCTCGCGTTGCGTGTACGGACATGACACGTAAGTATTCCTCCATTTTGTTTTGGAAAACAACCGTACTAACGTTACTAGTTCCATTCCTGCCGCCAGCGGATCCTACGGTCAGAACATCGCATACGGCTACGATGAGGCGCAGGTTGGCGAGAAGATCATCAGCCAGATGATGTACACCGATGAGGAGCCATACTTCGCCAGCCTCTATGGTCAGGCCAGTCCTGATATGTCCAACTTCTCTAAGTGGGGCCACTTCACTCAGATCGTCTGGAAGGGCACCTCGCACGTTGGTTGCGCTACCGTTAGCTGCTCTGACTTGAAGAATGCTGGTGGCGCCGCCCCCTTCACTGTCTGCAACTATGGCACCCCCGGTAACTATGCCGGCGAGTATGCCGACAACGTCTTGAAGCCCAACAGCGCATAAACGTCTTGGGATATACGGAGCTGTTGATTTGGGAATGCCACATCGGATATTTGTTCTTGTGTCGGCGATCTAAACCCATTGATCATGTTCTTCCAAATAACATTTCTCCCCCATTCGCTTTGCGCCATGCGGAATTGTCTTCTTGTCTTTACCCTTCTTCATCATTTGCATGTCCTGCCTCGATCGGTGACCCATACTGTATGTATGCAAGCGTGCTTTGTCCCCCTACTTTGGAGGACTCATGGCAATGCAGATATTATTGTTCCATTGTGAATATTCTTTTGACTCCTTGTCTTCCGCCACTGCGTTGCGGTTCATCCTGTGGATAACAAAATCTCTGGCGTCAATTTTCTTTTCCTTTTGCGAGCGTGATGTACCGTGTATAACTCCAGCGTATCATGAATTTTTCCTCGACATCCTTACCCCACAGAATCGTAGAATTTCTATTGTAGTGTAGGTGTAGTTCTTGTAGTTATATGTTTTTAGCTCCATGATGCTGCGTTCACGTGACCAGAAGCTCCCCCCCGCATGACCGGTCCCTTCGCCCGAAACGTCATTCGGCCACGAAGTGAGAGAGCCCCAAACCGATATACTTCAAAATTCCAAGAACTTCTGTGTCGGGTACACGGTAGACGACTTCCTCCGTCCCGAGATTCCTCTCTTTATCTTTATGAAACAGTTCGACCTTAATCTCTCAACCTCAACGGATTTCAAGCTTTCTTTGTACATCCTTATTCCGAGCCAAGATATCTGCAACAACGTGCAGGGTTGATTGACATTAACCTTGGAAGTAAGTTCTTAGCCTGGTCTATGCCATCCTATCATTTCCCTTTTAATTACCCCCCACGGGGTGAGGGGCATCCCCCCAAGACAAAGCCATTTCATCCCTATCCTTCATGGAACCAGCTCGAGGTGTGATAGTCTACACGTTGCAAACTCTCAGAGTCTCCCATAATATTTGAAGAGTCGCTGTAGGGCCCATGGGCTACTTGTCTACGGGGGGGTTCTTTCTTGGCAATTTGACATCTGACAAGCGGCACAGCGAAACTCATCCGTTTCTCCGGCGCTATCATTCCGTTCTTCCACCGTATCATCCGGTCACACCAACCCACATCTCGGGGTTGCATACTATTTGTGCTCTTGTACAGTGCTCTGTAAGTACCTTGCTTAATCTATGGCCAATTTCCTTTTCCCCTTAAGGTCCGAGCCGGATCCACACCCGTCGGGATCACTCTATAATCCTCACGCCCATATAAAATTATCCTGCTCTCTTCTTGTCTCTTGCCACCCCGAGTTTCTCTCTAATCTCTGCATGATATCTATCTTGTGACTTTCATATATTCCCAAATATCTTATCTTTATCCCCTTGTCACTTGCCCATCTATCTGCATCTGCACATGACATAGTCTCAATGCCATCATACTGCCTCCAAGACTGCCACTACTTCTATCGCACAGCCCTACGTCTCCTTTCAATTCCCACATTCCTCGCTAGTCGCTACGCCTGATTTTATCTTCTCCTGAGAGGTTGAACACATCTAATATCATGTCTTACTCCTCAATGGCAGTTCGATTCTTCACAGCCCCCAAACCACTCGGTGATTCCATGGACGCCGAGACAAGCAAAAAGTCTGGGTCCGACCCCCAAGGTCATACGGTCATGAGACCAAATGTCTCTACTGACCACCCCTCGTCTGAGGTTGCTGAGCTCCTCAAGCCTAAGAGCCAGGGCTTGACTTTTGCAAACCAGGATTCACTGCCTAAGCTTCCTATCCCCGACCTGGAGGATACTTGTCGCAGGTACATAGATACCCTGAAGGGCTTGCAGAGCGTGCGTGATCATGAAGAGACGAAGGCTGCTGTTCGGGACTTTTTAAAGAACGATGGTCCTCTTTTGCAAGAACGGCTTAAGACTTATGCTGGTTCAAAGACGAGCTATATCGAGCAATTTTGTAAGTCTATTCAGGGTCAAGCATGGGATGCGATGTCAGCTGATCATTTCTAGGGTATGATTCCTACTTGAATTTTGATAATCGTGAGTTGGATTCCCTTGTTTGACCTATTTTGCACGCAGCTAACAATCGCAGCTGTTGTTTTGAACCTCAACCCATTTTTCCTTTTGGAGGACGACCCAACTCCCGCCAGAAATCACCAGGTGACTCGAGCTGCGTCACTGGCGGTTTCGGCATTGGCATTTGTTCGAGCTGTGCGTCGAGAGGAGTTGCCTCCTGATACCGTACGAGGAACGCCTCTTTGCATGTATCAGTACTCGCGCCTTTTTGGAACGGCACGTTTGCCTACCGATAATGGCTGTGTAATTAGCCAGGACCCCTCGGCTAAACACATGGTTGTTATGTGTCGGGGGCAGTTCTACTGGTTTGACGTCTTGGATGACAACAGCGATTTGATCATGACTGAGAAGGATATCTCGCTTAACCTGCAGGCAATCATTGAGGATGCGGCTCAAACTCCGATTCATGAGGCTGCGAAGGGTGCTTTGGGTGTACTCAGCACTGAGAATCGGAAAGTTTGGTCGGGGCTACGTGATATCATGACCAAAGATTCCAGATCTAACAACGCGGAGTGTTTGAACATTGTCGATACCGCGCTTTTTGTCTTATGCCTTGACATCACTGAGCCATCCACCACGGCCGAGCTTTGTGCTAACATGCTTTGTGGGACAAGCGAAGTCGTCAAAGGTGTCCAAGTTGGAACCTGCACCAACCGGTGGTACGACAAGCTGCAAATAATCGTCTGCAAGAACGGCAGTGCCGGTATCAACTTCGAGCATACCGGCGTGGATGGTCACACGGTGCTACGTTTTGCCAGCGACGTGTACACCGACACCATTCTCCGCTTCGCAAAGACCATCAACGGTCAATCCCCAAGCCTATGGGCAACCAGCAGCCCCGACCCAGCGAAGCGGGACCCGCAAAGTTTCGGGAACGTCAGCACGACACCGCGCAAGCTAGAATGGGACATGACACCCGAGCTTAACATTGCGCTCCGCTTCGCCGAATCCCACCTTTCCGATCTGCTCTGCCAGCACGAATTCCAAGTCCTGGACTTCGAAGGCTTTGGCAAGAACTTCATAACCTCAATGGGCTTCTCTCCGGATGCATTCATCCAGATGGCCTTCCAGGCCGCCTACTACGGCCTCTACGGTCGAGTCGAGAACACCTACGAACCAGCCATGACAAAGATGTTCCTGCACGGACGCACGGAAGCCATCCGCACCGTAACGCCCGAATCCATAGACTTTGTCACAGCATTCTGGGGCGAGAACGCCGCCGACCAGAAGGTCGACGCCCTCCGCGCCGCATGCCAAAAGCACACGGCCGCCACCAAGGAATGCTCGAAGGGCCAAGGCCCGGATCGTCACCTCTACGCCCTCTACTGTCTCTGGCAGCGCTCCTTCGACGAAGGCCTCTTCCCAGACACCAGCTCAACAGGCGGGTACTCCAGCCCTGGGGAAACGCAATCCCAAACCCAAAGCCAGGGCCCCGACTCACCGAAACCCTCTTCCTCCTCCCCTTCAGACGACGGCCTCTCCTCACCGGGAAGCAGCACACGCGCCTACCGTACAACCTCGACACCGACACCCGCGATCTTCGCCGACGCCGGCTGGGACAAGATCAACAACACCGTGTTGTCGACCTCGAACTGCGGAAACCCGTGTCTACGACACTTCGGCTTCGGCCCTACATCCGCCGACGGCTTCGGTATCGGCTACATTATCAAGGACGAGTCGATCTCGATCTGCGCGAGCTCCAAGCACAGACAGACAGCCCGTCTTATGCACACGCTTGAGTCGTATCTGTTTGAGATTCGAAAGTTGTTGCGCGCGACGAATCGCAAGACGATGAGTCCGCGCACTAGTCGGGCGAGAGAGACCGAGGCGCTTGCGGAGAGCTTGCAGTCTGAGTCGCATCGGCGCGGTCGACTTGTAAGAGGTGGGGGTGCGCAGGGTGCTGAGACGCCCACTTCGGCTGCTGATAGTAGCTTTATGGAGGATGATGGAATGGGAGGATGTAAGTCTTTTCGACCTTTTGGTACCTTTTGTTGCGGCTCTTTTGCTAACTGTTATCTTACTAGATGGCTTCTTTGATGCTGGTATGCTTCTTCACGCGCTTAAGGGTCTCAATGCGGAACGGGAACAACGCGGCGAGAAGCCTGCTAGGCGCAGGTTTGTGGGGAAGAAGCTTCATCTCAATGAATATTGATTGCAGGGTTGGGCGCACCTTCCCGGTGGATATGATGCCGGGACTTCAGGGGGGAAGGCGCGACCCATGGGGCCCGCTTTCCCAGGCTGCTAATGGGGAGGGCCCTCGGACAGGAGTGGAAGGGCGTTGTATCTAGTTGAATTAGAATACGAAGCATGAATTTATATTTACTATATCTGTTTCATTCTCATCCAAAAAGGGGTCTCTGAAGATGCGGAGTATAAAAAGCTTGGAAGGACTTCCTCGGCAATTGTGGGGAAACCTCCGACACCGGATTAGCCGACTTGGCTCAATAGCCTTCTTGACATATCTGATTTTGAAATTGTTGTATATAATTCATTCCTCAACTATAGAAGTGCAGTGCCAACCTGCATGTGTATTCCAACCTCAACACCATGACTCTGCACGCCCTGCCAAAACGGGCGCCCCGGTTACGGGCCTCTCTAACAAGGCACTTCACAACCACCCCCCCGCACCGCCAGTTATGCGGACACTCTACCAAACCTCAAGATTGGCGCTCATACGAGAGTATTATTCCAGGGATTTACAGGTAGTTATTCCTGTTTGTTTTGAATCAGACGGGTCCCGCAATGGAATACCGTGTAATGCTAATCTCCACCACAGGAAGACAGGCGACTGCCAATGTCAAGGAGTCTCTTGAATGGGGCACTAAAATCGTGGGAGGCGTGAAGCCTGGCGTTGAAGGCGAACACCTAGGCCTACCAGTCTTCCCATCTGTCAAAGCGGTATGAGTATTCTGATTGTTCGCTCGTTGGGAGATGTAATTCGACCCGTTAGCTAATGACCACCAGGCTCAAGAACGGGCAAAGCCGGATGCATCTGCGATCTATGTCCCAGGAAATCAGACCGCAAAAGCCATCGAAGAAGCCATCGAAGCGGAGATTCCACTCGTCGTAGCCGTGGCAGAACACGTGCCGATCCACGATATCCTTCGGGTATGTAGAATTGCGGTTAATCGCTAATCGTGCTTGGAGAGTTGAAGTGTCTTTTCATTAACAGTATTACAGATCCATTCCATGCTACAAACGCAATCCAAGACCCGTCTGGTAGGTGCGAACTGCCCAGGCATTATATCCGCCATTGGCAAGTGCCGAATCGGCTTCCAGCCGTTGCCTTGCTTTGCACCGGGCGATGTCGGCATTGTGGCTAAGTCTGGGACACTGAGTTATGAGACTGTTGCGTCGACGACTCGGGCGGGACTTGGTCAGAGTCTTTGTATCAGTATGGGCGGGGACGTGCTGGCTGGCACGAACTTTGTCGATGCTCTCAATCTCTTTGAGAATGATCCTGATACTCGGGGTATTATCTTGGTTGGTGAGATTGGGGGTACGGCGGAGATGGATGCCGCTGAGTGGATAAAGGATTATCGAAGGAGGACTGTGGATCCCAAGTAAGTTATGGTGCCTTTTGTTCTTTTTTATCGAGGTTCTTTGAATGCAATGCTGATTGGGTAGGCCCATTATGGCGCTTGTTGGGGGGTTTGAAGCACCCCCTGGCCGGATTATGGGACATGCCGGTGCCTGGGCTGCGCCTGGGGAACCAGATGCGCAAACTAAGTATCAAGCGCTTGAACGTGCTGGCGCGGTCATGGTTAACCACCCTGAGAAGTTCGGCGAAGGTATGAAGGCTTTGTTTGCTAACCAGTCTAGCCGGCCGGGTACAAGTGTGAGTGTGCTTCTTCACACAACCGATCTTGAGGTATACTGACATGCGCACAGCAAATATCCGGTACTAGTTCACAAAAACGTGGCTTTCATACTATGAGACGAGTTACGCCAATCTCGAGACCGACAGCTGGGCACAAGCGTAGTCTGTACATCAAGCAGTTCCAGGCATTTGATATCCTCAGACAGAAGTCGATCCCTGTCAATGAGTCGGCTTCCAGCTCTGATAGTTCTATTTCTGTTTCGATTACAGTCGACAGAACAGCTTTGTCGCCATGCATCATTGCCTCGTCAACTTCCGAGTCTAACCCAGCTCAGTCGCAGAAATTTCCATTCCCTTACACTCAGACCGGGTTCGGAAGCTCCATCATTGCTGCTGTTGCCTCGCATTTGGGTCTTCCAGCCTCTGCCCACAAGCAGCTTGCAGGCTTTGTACAAGCCCTTTGGGAAATTTACAACGAAAAGGAGGCCTTTACGCTGGAGACGCAGATTGCCATCTCTGCTGATGGTACTTTGGAGGTCCACGGTGCACGTTTCGGCTTTGACGATGCTGCATTCCGCAGCTCAGGCCGACAGGAAGATATCCACAAACTTCGGGATACAGCCGAAGAGGTTGCGGAGGAGGTTGAAGCCGAAAAGGATGGAATTGTTTACGTCAAGTATGTGTAAACATGTGGTTTATTTGTATCTCCGCTGACATACAGTAGGTTGGAAGGTGAAGGCAGCATTGGCACACTTGGTATGTATTCTGGTCTATATGTCGTTGAAAGTAAAAAGACGTTTGCTCACAACATCGGATAGTCAATGGAGCCGGCCTTGCCATGAACACGGTCGACGCTCTTACTATCCACGGCGGCCACTGCGCGAACTTCCTTGACACTGGTGGCAAGGCTACGTCGGAGACTGTCAAGGCGTCATTTCGCGTAATTTGCTCGGACGCGCGCGTCAAAGCTGTCTTCGTCAATATTTTTGGCGGACTGACTCGCTGCGATATGATTGCTGAGGGGATTATCTTGGCTTTCCGAGATTTGAATATGAAGGTTCCAGTCGTTGTGAGGCTGCGAGGTACAAATGAGGAACTGGGACAGAAGATGGTAAGTATTGATCTGATTATCCGCTACCAGTGCCTAGTTGCTAACTCGAATGTTGGTAGATTGCGGAAAGTGGCCTTCCTTTGCATGCATTTGATGGATTTGAGGAGGCTGCGAAGAAGGTCATCGCGTTGGCTCAGGGTCAATAGATGCTTACACTTTGTGGTTATACTAGATATACTAGATAGGACATGTCTGCATACATAGGCGTCTGTTTCAATCTGATCGACTTTCGTGTAAAGAAAGGGCAAGGTAATAGGCGGTTGAAGGCCTATAACACCAGAGCCAAGGATCACTGTGTTGTCTTGATTCATTGCAGAATTGTCGTTCACAACATCAGCTGGCGTCCCGTTGAGGCCTGAAAATAGGGATCGGGAAATTGACGAAAATATATCCATTTGATTGGGGAAAGTCGGAAAGCAAAGTTGGATAAGCTGGGAGAAACAAAGAAAGTTACTATGCTTGGGCCTCAGGTGTTGAAGCGGGGATTTATAATGTCTGTACCTATAGCACCTGGGTGTTGATTATAGATGCAGAGTTCTATACAGCATTTATGTTGAGAATAATAGTATTAAAAGTACTATGAATAAAAATTCCAATCTTGTATGCCGTAGAAAGTAGTGAATTAAATTGTCTAATCTTCCACATTTGACTACTAGACAGCCTAAAGAGCAGCGAGAGCTACCTAGGTAGATCATCGGGTGTATCACAGCGGAAGGATGCCCAAGGCAATGCAGGAAGCAGAGCCTTCTTCTCAGAAACGTATTGCAATTATCGCTGCGGCAGCGTATCCCAGACGTACAGTTTGCTTCCGAAGCAACGGAGAACCGGGCATTGAGGCAAAAGTCCGAGATATAAAGGACCTTCACCCGGTCACCACTCGGCTTAGGGAACAGGCCCACGGTAAACAGCGGGCTGGTGTGAGGCTGTGGGCAGAACTTCTTCAGAGAATGGCAGATGTACTGCCCGTCTAGACCCTCGAGATCAACCAGAGCCAGCACCTCCAGACAGCGCCAAAGGCAAATTGATCAAGGCCGGGATCAAATTCCCATACGAAGATAACGATACTAGTGGGATCTATGCTTCTATTTTCTTAAAGACAGTTGATAGCTCTTTTGCATGATTTTTAACATAAACACTCTATACCGAAAAAGCTAGTCTCTGCCATTAATGACTGAGACCCATCCCTTTAAACCCCGAAAAATGTCCTTCGTGAATAAAAACGAGATCTTACTATAAAGCTAGTACCATGGAGATGAAAGTATAGATGTTATTTAATCGTGTTCATGACTCACCCTGAGAACCGTTGAAGAATTATTTCTTTTCGGGATAACACCACAAGTTTTTCCAACCATACCAGCATCCCCAGCCGTATGCGTTACAGCATGAGTCACTTGGAATATCAGGAAGATTAGGGCGGTACTGAGCAGAGTTCAGCACTTTACATTGCGCACCAATGGAATGCTTCTTGGTCGTTGCTTTCAGAACGCCTCCGTCGTCCCACTTAGATCTGATTTCGTAGTCATACCAGCCACACCCACCCCACTGGCAGTCCATTGACTTGTGCTCCTGGTCTCATTGCTTACAGCTGGCAGCGAAGGATCCAACGGCCAGAATGGTAGGGACGAGCAGGCTTGGTAGATGCATTATGTATGAAGTCCGGAGTAGGTTTCCTTGGCCTTTGCATGTAACTGTAAATTCAGTATCAGAAAGATTGAACCTGTCATAAAATCAAAAAGGGCGACTTACCGGGGGCTAGTGTTCAATATTAGGCAGAGGATAGAGTAGGTAACGAAGAGAAGATTCCACTTTGGCTCGGTGAGAACTTGGAAGGCATTTATAACTTTACTCGGTCAATCCTTCTGCGAGCTTCCCTTGATAATGCTAATGCACACATGTTCTGCATCACATCGATAGTTATGGGTGCAGGTCACAATCCAGTGCTGTGTAACCAGAATATGCAAATAAACTGCAATATATCGATAGTTGCGCAGATCAGCCTCTAGTCCTGTGTAGATCTCGCCAAAACCGCGGGTTGGGTTCTTGCCTACATATGTTGTATTCCGTATGTTGTATGTAGAGTGTGAAAAAGAGCCCTTGCTTGCTGGCACAGTGGCTTAACCTAATCAGGGTCATCTTAGCAGTCAGTGTTCAATACGGGTGCCATTTTCTATGGTATTTCCTAGCTTCTGTGATCCGCCCCATGTTGATCCCCTCCACAATTATGAAGCTATCACCCTGTGCTGTTAAATACTCAGTAGGACCCTGAGCGCCCTCATAGCACCCCGATCTGGGAAATCGGGACCGCGGCCTAAAATCCGGTATATACACCGACATATGTAGGTAAGGATACATACTCAGCTAACCAGAACTATACTTGCCGAGTTGTTGGATCCATAAACATAAAAGACCATGTTTCCTCAAAATACCACCTGGGCAAATGGCAGTTTAACCTCACCAGAATCAAACAAGTTCCCGATATTTGCGTCGTGGCTGTGGCTCCAGTAAAATAGAGCCCTTCACATCTTTCACTTCCTTCACTGATCCGGTGTAATCCCCACGCATTTGCGGAAAGAAATACCCAGGAGGCGTGATACACATGGCTATCACAGCGACAGCGCACATTCTAGCATCCGTCAGCACTTTCCAATGCCTAGCAACTCCGTCAAAATTCGACTTACATCGACTCAAGGATAGTAAAATCAAGTTCGTCCTGCATTATAGGGTTTTTCCACCCACCGGCCATTTCCGCAATACTGGACACTCCACTATCAGTACCTCGCAGATATCAAATATTTAGCCAATGACTTACCGATAGACGCAACGGACATAAGTTGTCACAAATGCCACAAAGATACCCCAGAAGAATACCCAGAAATTGCGACTGTTCCAGACTTTCCGGGCCTCAACCGACAATCCATCTTTCGGGGCATTCTTTATACGAAGAAGAAAATGGCCCGACATCGCCGCAAACACCGTCAAGGTAACAACTTGCCAAACAATCCCGGCCATCATGACATCGCTGCCAATATCACTGGCTTTGGATGTCTCAGCTGCTGCCGCAAGGCCACCGCCAGCGCCTTGAAGAATCAACGAAATGACATCGCAGGTGACAAAGATGTAAGGATACCACTTCGCCCTCAGTGTCGAGTATTCTTGGCCCAGAACATTCACTCCATGTTTCAGTGTCAGGTATATGGCTGCCGACCAGAAAGCTGGTGCCAGTGTCAAAGTGCAAATCTGCGTCTTAAAGCCGGCGGATGAGTATGGGTTTTTGTTGAGTAATATACGACCAAAATAGCCTATTTGTTTTGTCAGTTCTCTCCGGGACAGTCAACCTGTCGTTCCTACGGGGTTGCAGTTTACTTACCAATAACCTCAGTCAAAGAACCGAGAATCACGGCAATACTAAAAGACCACAGGCGCCATCTGATCATCTGACCGAGCTGGATCAGAGAACAAACACCGAATATTAAACAGAATTCAATGCTGAACACAAGATCGGGCGCGTAGCCGTAGATAGTGCCCTCAACTGGGCATTGAGGAGTCACCTCCGTGCATTTGGCTACAGCGCGGATTTCAACCATGATTCTGGCATAGAGGGAAGTCAATATGATCGGATGTACTCCGTATAGAGGTCATGAAGTGAAGTTAGCTTCTTTGTTCCCTTCATATTCCTGTGTGTCAAAGAAAGATATATATAGACATATATCTTTCTTTGAGAGACTATGTTGCCTATGTTTCTCGGCCACGACATATCAGTTTCGCATTCAAGCCATGGTCGCAGCTTTGCAGGGTAATCTTTATTTGATACTCACTAGACTAGTCCAAAACACTCAATGCATACAACTAGCTTGTTCGTTTTCCGCCACATAGTTAAAACTCCTATTTACCCTGCGATCTAGACCCTGTCAACTAACTGGTACAATGGTAAAGCCTTGCAATTGTATGCGAAGATCTGTGGAGCATCCGATGTGTCAGTGCGTACACCTTTTCTTTCTGTTATAGCCGATTCAGGCCAGATGAGGCGCAAATTTAAGGATTTCAAACCTGCCAGAGATGTAGCTATACCGATATGGCTCCACACCACACAGAAAACCTAAACTGAAATCAGTGGTAAAGCCCGATCATAGTTCTATGCTCATGATGCTTTTGCTCCTTCATAGACCAGGGCAAATGGCCTTGCCTGTGTTAGAATCCTTGTTTTAGTGTTACAGCTTCACGCCTCGGGGCCGGGGTCGGAGATCCTTTGTGCTGAGTAGCGTTCAACGAAACAATTATGTGACTCCGTTACTTTCCAAAGTAATAATTTAGTTACTAATGCAATATGAGCTGAAGATACCCTAGATGACAAATATCTCGTACATTGTGATATAAAAAGCCATGTCCCACTAGTTCAACGGCTGCTGCTCTCGGATGAACCAAGCCGATCATACTTGAGTCTATCAAGGGAACCTGTGTAATCTGAGACTTTGTACCTACATATACAGCATGATGTAATGTGTATTGTGGACGGTATTATGTATATGCTTTCCTATTAATATCCCCATCTTCCCGTCCTATAAACGAAACCTCAGCAGCCCCAGACAGGATCAGGAACAAGCCTCGCGTCATCCAATTTCTATATCAATAATAAGCATTAGATTGATAGCCCAAAGTTTTAAATAACAAAGTAAATTAAATATAGTGACTCACATTCTTGCTCGACTGGACGAAGAAGGAAGACCGCATCAAGTGATGGATCCGAAGGATGGGCCGCCAACTCATTATCCTCCCCAGCTGCTACCACCAGTGGAGTCCCCTCGGGGTGGAAGATGAAGGTCCCGTCATCATTCTGAATGGCTTTGAAAAGCTGTGCGTTGTTTCCAAGGGTGTCCACTTCGCAGGGATGTTCCTTCGGGCATGAGAGCATCCCCTGGGTGTAAACGTTCTGTATGAGGAAGTCGGGACCGGAGGCGACTAGACGCCAGTGCTCGGCGTGTTTGTCTTCCGGGTGTACCAACTCGACCCGATGCTTAACACCGATGGAGTTTTGGATTCCCCAAACATCTCCAGAGCGTGGGGATACGATTGCGTACACTCCGTTGTTTTTCAAGGCCATGGTTTGGCTGAACAAGCTGGCCAGCGCGGCGAGGGAGGCAATGACGTGCTTCATGCTGTAATTTGGATATGGTCAATTCGATGGAAAAGAACGATAATGGTACCTGGGTAGAGGGAAACCTCAGGGGCGCAGAGAGGATTTATAGACAGGTACTCCGTAGAAGGCTGAAGTATAAAAATGTTACTGATCAGATTTCCCAATGCTTTATGCATTTTGCTACTCCTATTGCCATATTACTTCTTCTGATGCAGGTTTGCCAGTAGTTTGACGCTCCATATAACCACCGACCTGGGAAAATGATCTATACGCCGGTTTTTTATGCTAGCTTCAGGTGCTTCCGACGTAAGGGGTCGAATGTGGGGTTAGTATGTACGGAATAGTATAAGTACATTGAAGACTTATGAATTCATTTTAAAAAAATGTTCTACTATCCCTGAAATAAAAATAGAAAGGATAATAGACTTGATGCCTGACAATCCTGAGGCAGAAAGCCGAACCAGAAAGGTCTAGCCCTTCTTTTTTCTCCACGATCGACCAGGAATGCCACCGGCACTGACGCCATTAGTTCTATTTCTATCTCAAGCACACATCTCCCTTAAATTGACCTGTATACTTAATCCTCTTATTGACCATTAACCCTCCTGTATATTTATTGCCCGTTACACCCGAACCACGTGAGCCATGTCTGATCCAAGCGCCGAGCTCACATCCACACTCCGCGGCCTATCCATAGGTGAAAAGGGCCCAGTGCAAGACATTCCCCGACCAAAGGTGGAAAAACTCCCAACAGCAGCCGCAACCTCAACCCCCAAATCCAACCCCAAAATACCCCGCAAACCCGTTGCAGATTCCTGGGAAGACGAAGCGGACCTCTCCGCCTCGGAAGGCGAGGACGCGAAGCCCCGCGACGAAGACGCTACCCCAGTGCTTTCGCCAACCATCAGCGCTGAGGGTCCTCTAGGTCCCCCGCCGACACCTATCTCCCCGCAGACGTCCAACCCGTGGATGGCGAGAGCTGCTTCTCCTGCTTCGGCGCGGGAACCTCCTGCCCGTCGCCCGGAGAAGCAGACTGCTGTTGCGGAGCGGATGATTGCCGGTGCGCTGGGGATCCGTGCCCCGAAGCGGACGGAGCAGCAGCGCGCTTACGATCGCTCGATTAAGGAGCAGGAGATTCGGAGGCGGAATCGCGAGCGTGAGGAGAAGGCTAAGGCTAAAGAGGAGGAGGAGAAAATGAAGGCTTCTATTTGGAACAGTTAGTGGATTTGGGGGAAATTTTGGTTATGTTAGGCTATTGGCTCTTTGTATATCTGTATATATTGTCGAATTGGACCTGTTTATAATATGCCCGCTCTCTGCGCGGTGGCTTATCATGCGCGAATGGACAGGTTACTTCATGTGGTTCCTTGGACTTAACTGGCCCATGATAACGCGTTGCTCGCGGCGACCATGGTGATAAGGAATGTAGTGAGTACCTAGGTATAGCTCGAGGCACAACCCTGCATTGAGACCCCAATAAGCTATTTAATGTAACGAACGAGACAAGCTATTGCGACATTTGCACTCCCAGGAAAAGAATGTCCTTATTTGTTTGGCAAGCCCTAGCTTCTCGGTCCTATATTCAAATACAAAGTCTAGAACCAAAATTAGACTATGTCTACGATATGCGGCCGTCTTGACCTTGAGGGAAATTTAGTAAAGCGCAAGCACCCTCAAAGTCTGGAGAAGACTAGGTGACCTTTGATAATCATCATTCATAAGAGAAAAGAAAAAGCAGTATGAACGCCGCCCCTTCACCCATGGGCCATCAATGAGGATCCTCTATCCACTGCTGGACATCAGCCCTAGTGTATCCCCCCCCCCCCTTGTCGCCCTAGCAGCCTCGGTTCCGTGGAGGAGTGCGACTCTACCATGCAGAGCTCGTCTAGCAACCTCCGATCTGCTCCTGGTGAACTTCCAAGGTGTCACCGTCCGCCATATCAAGCTATTTTCAGTTAGTTTAAAAGTTCGTAGACATCAATGGGTGGCAAAAAAGAGAAGGGGGATAGCCGTACAGTCTCGGGCGAATCTTCAGGGCGAACCCGGGTGCCGTCAAAAAGGAACCGAACAGTTGACATTTGCTTTCCTTGGCGTTCGCAGAAGGCATCCATGAGCTTCTTCAGCTGCGTTGTGCGCTTGATCTTGAAGAAAACTTCGTTGTTGTTATCGGTCACCTTGATGTTCAGGTGCTCGGTGGCAGGAGCCGCGCCTTCTTTGTCGGACATTATGAATGACTTTGTGGTCTGGCTTTCGTTAAACGGCTACTTCTCGTGGAGAACAGAATGGCAACGAGGCAGAATGCTTACAACGGTAGAAGCGAGTTCGGGAATCTCTTCGAGCGGGGCTTTGAATTATGCCTAAAGGTTTCAAAGAGGGTTAGATCATGATTTCAATGCCATTTCAGGGAGGAACTGAAGTATGAGGTACTCACCTAGAATACGAAAGCTCGAGATAGCGAAGGTTGTGGGAACGGTGAGGTTAGAAGAGAGAGGAAGAAGAGAGATCAGCGGCGGCGGCAGAATATCACACTCGCCCACGGTCTGAAGGCGGAGAATCTATTTTGCGTTTGGTTGTCCTATCACTTTCGTCACTTCCAAGGAACAGTGTGTCTACAACGCTTTGTACGGAGTACAGTCTTTGATAATTGCATTATGGTATGGAAATTATCACTGTGAACATATTGGCTATATGCTAAGACCCTGATAGGGTAATTTAAAGCAAGATCTGTCACACGATCAACCCTGCCATCCGCGTGCTGTATGTATCCATATCCTGAAAGCATCCATTTAGAGTGGTTTTGCCCAAGGTGCTAGCTCTTACTGACAATGGAACAGTGCGCCATTCAAGGTATTTTCCAATTCATAGCATGTTCACCCATGAACAAAGCCTAACCGAAGCTAGATTGCTTGCAGAAAAACTCCTTCAATGAGGACAAATGCCAGACACAAATTGATGCACTGTATGAATGCTGCAATGCCTTCTACCAAGAGCGAGGTGACCAGGCATCTACTGTCAGCTGTCCCAAAGCAAATTTGCTGCGGTTGAAGATGAAGCAACGTGCTCAAGCAGCAAAGCAATGAGGCTACTACATTTCTAAATCTTTATAAGTGACCCATGTCGAAAATGGAGGATGTCACAATTCCCTTGCGGTCTGAGTTTCCATCTGGAGGAAACCAGGCTAATTGAAGAACTGCATTTATTATAAGACAATCGTGAGCACGCAAAGAGGCCTCATGGACCTGTACGAAAATTGAGTTTTCATACCGAGACTCTAATGAAAGCCTATAGACATTAGAGAAGAAAAGAAAAGAAGGAGAGAAGGGCGCGGGCGAAAATTCGTAGAAATAGCTGCTGGTGTTGCCGCTAGTCCTTTTTTGGGGTTAGTCTGGCAACGCGAAAACCAAAAGAGACAAACACAACTTATTCCTCAAGAGCTCCTCTCTCTCTTCTCCCTTCTAACCAAGTCTCCCATCATGGCGCCTTTAACTCGATCGGCCGCTGGGGCCTCATTCACACAGGTGTGTTCATTCCTTTTGCTCTCTGCTTTTTGTTATCTCCTAATCCTTTCATAGGTTGCCCAGCCGCATAGGCAAAACGAGGTCATCAACATTGACGACGATTCGCAACAATCTTTCGATGAGGATGAAGAATTGGAGGACGAGGAACAAATTTCGGAAGATCAATCTGAAGATCAATCGGAAGACCAATCGGAAGACCAAGATGAGGACATGGACGAAGATATGGATGGCGACACCGTCTCGGAGACTGGGTCCGATGTTTCTGATCCTGAGCCCTCTATGCAGTCTACCTTTGGCGCATCGGGCAAGTATCAAGGTCGGCTCAAAATCCACTTTTAGATCGCATTTGCTAAATTCTAATCCAGACGCCCCATTGTTCACCGCCGCAGGCGCCCAGGAAGCACTGCACCCCCTTCGCCGGACGGCTGACCGCGTCACTCGCCAGATCGAAGCATTCGCCGATAAGCTGGATCAGTTCAAACGCGACAATTCAACCGACGATTTCAACAGCGCCCAGGCAGCTTATAAGCTTGTGCAGAGCTACCGCGACATTGCGAACAATGCGATTAAGGAAATCGAGACCCAGCAGACCGTGGACCGAACAAAGACAGGCCTTCGGTCGAGCGGGTCGCAAGTCACCAGAAATTACGAGGAAATACGCCGATTGCAACTTGAGGCCGACACTTGGCGCCTCCTGCTGAACCTGATCAGCATTGACGACCCCTCCAGCCGGGCCAGTTACAAGGCAGGACGACAGACAGCTTTCCAAAACCTTCACCGCTACTCAAGCGATCGCGAGATCTGGGAAGAGTTCCTCAATGCCGACCAATATGGACTTGAGTGCGTGGTTGCCATGCGGTGGTTGGAGGAGACCTCGAAGACAGGAAGCCAGGAGTTTGATACCCTGATCACGGAAATGGAGGAGCAATCTCGAAGCGGCCAAGGATTGTTCACAACCGGATGGCTTCATACCAAGGAATCGATCAAGGGCCACAAACGTTTGCGCGCCTGGCCACAACCTCTCGAGCCCAATGACCCGGGAATCTCGCGCTCGCTTTTGAGCAAAGATGAACAGAAACCGCTAGTTACTCAACTCGACCCCGATGCTCTCACTCGTCAGAAACACAGTCTAGAAAAGGAGGACGAATTCTTCGAGCGCGCCACTTGGATAACTTGCTGGAAGATGCTCAGACAGGGCGAGAACTGGACTAAGATTCGTGAGTGGGCAGAGGGTCGTCTGGAAGGATGGAGGGCTGTCAGCTTGTGCGGTTCTAGTGTGGATCCCGAGTCGGCAAGTTCTCGATACCCATCTGACGATGGCCACACCCGCTTGATGAACAGTCGAGCCCACGATTCATGGCGTACCGCTTGCTCTGCGCTAACACGCGATCCCAATACCGATGAATTCCAACGAGCGGTCTACGCTCTGCTTGCTGGCGAAACCGACGCTGCAGCTAGTGTCTGCCGCAGCTGGGACGACTTCCTCTACGTGTACTTCAACCGTGTCGTGCTCTCACGCTATCAGGGATTTTGCAAGCAATTCCAGCGGAAACTCAGCCACTCCCCCAACACCCCTGTGGCATTCAAGCCGGAACCCGCTGGGCACGCAGAACTCCAAAAGTTCCTTGTCTATCTCAAGGGTAACGACCGGGTCAGCGGCGAAGCGCGTAATCCGTTCCGCAACATCCAGGCCACGATTCTCAGCAAAGGTTACGATACATTCTTCACTTCTCTGGCTCACGCTGTATCTCAAGTCAGCGCTGATAAATACGGGAATACTTCTGTTATCCCAGAGATCGTGCGCAAGCCAGTAGATGAATCTTTCCTCATAGCTGCCGATGACGAAGAAGCTCTCAGAATTGCAGCTCATGTTTACGTCGTGGCCAGTGCGAGGGGCTACGCTCGCGTGGATGCCCATTTCGTTGAAACGGCGTCGGTGATCGTGGCTGGACATATTGCCAACCTGGAGGACAGAGGTCTATTCCATCTTGTCCCACTTTACGTATCACTCCTTCCCGCGCCAATGGGACACGAAGTTCTATCCAAGATCCTCATTGAAATTGTTGACCCGCAAGAGAAAGTACGGCAAGTTCGGCTCGCACGGAAACATCATATTGACATGGAAACTGTTCTTGATGTTCAATGGGCGTGGGTGAAGGAGCATGTCTCTGCGGTTGATCATTCTAGAGGGGTCACTGGTTATTCGAGAGTGTTGCGACGACCTGACGGTTCCCGAGCATTGGTGTCACCCAAGACCGATTTGATTGGGACTTCCGTCGCTCCGGAAGATGACAGGATGATTCGCAGTCTAGAGTGGCTTCGCTACGTAGATGGACAGTGGGATAAGATTTGCGATCTTGGATCCTGGCTGTATCGCAAATTCTTCCGTATGTTTCTGACCCTCCTGTTGTTGAGAACCCGGCCGAACTGACTTTTACTAGTTGCTGATAAGCTTGCCGCTGCTCGCGAGTTGAGTTTCCGTCTTCGATTGGCTGATATCTCAATTGAAAAATTCGGATCCGATATCATTTCGATGCCTCCGCAAGAGGCACACACCGAGGCAACTACGCCAACTAGCCCCACCAAGTCAAAGAGAAACAGCCTCCACCGGCGAAGTCTTTCCGGCTCCAACAACATTGCCCTAGTCTCGGCATACTACAAGGCTCATAGGGTTCTAGATCTGGAGGGTTTGGCTATCGGATTTGATGCCGTGGAGCAATTTGCACAGGTGCACGAGCAGATGTCCAAGTGAGTTCACCCTTTTCTGCTTCATCTCATTGCCAAAGCTAATCGATCCAGGACCAAACGCCGACGCGACTCGGGCACCTTGAAGGGCATGGATCAAGACATGAACGAATGCATCACCATGTTAGAAGAGTGCGTTGGAGTAGTGGTCGTTGAAGACTGGCTACCCACATCTACCGATGGTATGTACTTGATGTCGCGGCATTGAAATCTCGAGACTAATCCGTTCCTACAGCCGAGGAAGAAGAAGACTTCGAACACATTCGGACGACCTACATTCCAGAGCTGCTTCTTGATTGGCACAACGCCTTGTACTACGCCAGCCACACCCTCGAGCGGCACGACCTGTTGACCTCCTGCATGGTTGTGTCTATCTGGGCTGCAAACTACGAGCACATCACTCGCGCCTTTACAAAGTCACGTCGCATGGCCGAGCTTGTCGATGTGCTCGCTTTGTCAAGCAAGGCCCTGGTCATCCGGGACTCCAGCCAGCGCCGGTCCCCAATGGACCACACTACTTTCGAAAAAGGCCAGGAACTGAAGATCTGGGATGTCACGATCTCGGAAGAAGAAAAGAAGAGGCTTGGGATCGTATCGTCCGCAGACCGGGAGCAGTAGATCTAGCGGCGATTTGTTCTGTGTACATTAGCATGGGATTTGAGTGGATTTGAGTTTTAACGGCGGGCTTCTGATATGAATGAAACTGGATCAAACATGGATGGAGGATAGGTTACTTCATTTTACTACAGCTACCACATGTCAATAGGACATCTACGAATACACCAACATCGTCTTTTGTCACACTAGCTTGTCGCGGTGATATATGCCCAAGGGTTGGGACCATTCTCGCGCTGGATGGTGGCTGCAAAGCAAAGCAGTGACTCCAGCGTTTGCGGGGGAAATGCATCGAGATACCATTGGTAGTATCTGCATAGACGAGATCGCGGTATGCACCGATGTTATCTGCAAGGAAGATTGGCGTTTGGAGATCGGAGCTGAGCATGTTGTACAACATAGGCCCACAGTCGAAGTTTAAGCTAAAGTGAGATCAAGTCACTGAAACACAGCTATGGACATATTCACCAAGAGGAAAGCAGTCATCTGGGGTGTCAGGAAGATGTACAGTGACATAAACCGCCAGATATCTACAGATAGGATACCTAGACCTTATGGGTAGAGACGTTAACCGATAAACATCAAGGATATACATACCAGAGATCGTCACCAGTTGCAGCAACTGTCCCACACCACAGCGGTGATGTTACCAACGAGAGACAAATCCTCCGCCACGCTCTCAGCCTGTTTGCGCGGGGTTTTCACCGTCGGAGTCCTCCCCGCTCACGAATATGGGCGCCTACACTAACTTCGTCTTCGTCTTCACTGGACACGTGAGTATTATCTGGATATAATCCTGCAAGACACGCAATGCCAGCACGCCGAAGAACTCAAAACTCCATCTGGTGGCCGGTGATATCGGCCTCCGTGGTTCCAATGTCACGCAACAAACAAGCGAGGAAATCCTCCTCATTAAAGTCCCAGTCCGCAAACGGGAATCAGTAGCGTTTGATCGCGAGCCCGGAGTGGTACGCTCGTGAATGGTTGCATGTCTTTCTAGGGAGGTGTGTGCGCGCATAGACGTTGATGTGTTGTGCTAGTGGGGTTTGGGGGATTGGGGTTGGGGGAAGTGCTGTTCAGAGTATATTGTAGATCTTGGGCTGGGGGTGGGACGGCGGTGAGGCCATATTTGTTGGTTGGGTTGGAGATTTTCTGCTTTTTGAGGCTTTGGGTTTTGATTGGGCTCTGTTTGGTGGCGAGGCGAGATGGCCACGGGGTTGTCTGAGCTGAGGAGAATAAGATGATTTTAGTGTTGCCATGTGTTACTGGGCTGACGGAAATTTTATCTTGAGGTGTATCTTGTACAACGTAGCTATTATTGTAGGTATATATGCCCGATTTGGGGTAGAGAAGCCAAGCTAGTAGTACTTTAGATAAGCTTTGGAGAGTACCTAGGTAGGTATCCATGGATTTGAGTCAGTTTAGTCTATCGTATTCGTACTCTGTAGTTACATCGACGCCGTACGATGTGCTATGCAAGGATCAATTGTATGGTCTGAGTGTGGCTGAGTTTTATGTGGTGTGAGCTATAACCCCTACAACATACTAATAGCGAGGTACTTGGCAGGAGAAACCAGTTATGGTCCGTCAAGTTCCGGGAATCAGAGTTTGATTTTCTTCTGTAAAGTAGATCCAAAGCAAAAAGGAAGTCTTGGATGCTACGTCGGACTCCGTCCACGTCGATCATATGTAGGGGACGTCACCACTCTGTCAAGGGCATACACATGTATTTAAAGAGACATACTCCGTACAACATACATATGTAGTTAGATGGTGTCTGAGCTTTGATTGTAACCTCCAATTCTTCATTTTATTTAAATTACAACATAGTACTATATCCAGTTCATATTCAATCTCCAGTTTTTTTTTAATTCCCCCCTTAATTGCCAAATCGGGATCTCGAGCATGTCTTGGCGAGTGAGGCAGTGCAAGGCACTATAGAGCTTGGTATTGGTCTTTGCGGTATTTGCTCCTTATTCGTTGTTTACCGTAAATATGAAGAATTTTCTTGTCAACAAAACGTCCAACGTCTCTATTATAAGTTCAATGTTTATAAGTTAATAGAGTATATCATATACATTGTATCTGTAGAAACAGTAGAGGCTGTGCTCGATCTCCAAAAGTGGAGAAATTAAAGAAATCCAATACCATCTACTCTGTTACAGTAAGTAATAAAAGTGGAAGTTCTCGAACGTAGTGGAGAGCAAATTGACGTCTCTCCCCGAGGCAACTTATATTATTACCTTGCCTCCTATCTTTTACACTTTCACACCTCTCCAACCCTTGTGTCTAGGAGTTTAGGAGTTTAGGGGAGCTCTTATCATTTTCTCTCTACACTTCTTACATGAACTATCATCCCCGGGTGCCACGCATGAATCGCCCATTGAATAAACACTCCCACAATGTCCGACCCGCGCCCAAACGATGAGCCGGGACAATCCTCAACCCTGCGCAGAGAGCGCGCGCCGACAATTACCATCGATACCTCGGCCGTGAACTCCCCCGATAGCGATCACCCTCCCATCCAAGTCCTTTCCGGAGGATCACAGACCTACACCGATAACGCAACTGCCCCCGACACAACCGCACTGCTCAGCAATGGCAGTGTCTCTCCCACGGATATGCGGTCCACAGCCTCCATTCGCTCCAATGCCTCCTCCGAAGCTCGTGACCGTGAGAGCCGACCAACCTCACCCCACAACATCTCCTCACCCAAGACGAAGGCGCCCGAGGCACATTCAAACTTCCTTTCCGTCCCCGGCACACGCTCCCGAGGCAACTCCTTGGAGTCGGACGAGACCAGCCAAACATCGAGCACCTACGGCGGCGACACATACGTGCCCTCGGCATCCCAAGAATCACGATCCGATTTGGCCAAGAATGCCGCCATAAACGACATACACGATGAGGATGCCCTATCCCCAGACCCCGGCCGTGAATCCGAGTTTGAGGTCGAGGACAACAAGTTCGCCTTCTCCCCTGGTCAGCTGAACAAGCTTCTTAACCCGAAGAGCTTCGGCGCCTTCCATGCGTTGGGCGGCCTGCGAGGACTAGAGAAAGGCCTCCGAACTGATGTCAAAAGTGGCTTGAGTGTTGATGAGACTACCCTGGACGGAACCGTCAGCTTTGACGATGTTGTCTCACCTTCCTCACCTGCCTCGTCAAAGAATATGCCCAAGTCGGCCTCTCCGAATACATCACCGCCACCCGCCACTGAGGGTCCTATCGTGACCCAGGGCGGAGAAGGTTTCTTCGACCGCAGACGTGTCTACGGGGATAATAAGCTTCCAGAGAGGAAATTGAAGTCTATTTGGGAGCTTGCATGGATCGCCTACAACGATAAGGTCCTGATCTTGTTGACGGTTGCGGCTGCAATCTCACTTGCTGTAGGAATTCCACAATCGCTCCATCCAGTAAACGATGAACCTGGCGTTGAATGGGTCGAAGGTTTGGCTATTCTCGTGGCCATTATTATTGTGGTTACAGTCGGCGCAGCGAATGACTGGCAAAAGGAACGACAGTTTGCAAAGCTCAACAAGAAGAAAGAGAATCGACAGGTCAAGGTAAAGCGATCCGGCCGAACTGAAGAAATTTCCGTCCACGACGTCTTGGTTGGCGATTTGATGCTGCTGGAACCCGGTGATATGGTCCCAGTTGATGGGATCTTGATCGAAGGCCACGACCTCAAGTGCGACGAATCTTCGGCTACTGGCGAGTCTGACGTTCTCCGCAAAACTCCAGGCGAGGAAGTGTACCGGACAATCGAGAAACACGAAGACCTGAAGAAGATGGATCCTTTCATCATTTCCGGTGCTAAGGTCTCCGAGGGTGTTGGCACGTTCTTGGTCACTGCTACCGGTATGAACTCTACCTACGGCCGGACGATGATGTCCCTCCAAGAGGAGGGCGAGACAACTCCTTTGCAAACCAAGCTCAACAAATTAGCTGAGTACATTGCCAAGCTCGGTCTCGCTTCTGGTCTATTGCTGTTTGTGGTCCTTTTCATCAAATTCTTGGTTCGTCTCAAGGATATTCCGGGTGGTGCGGAAGCCAAGGGTCAAGCATTCCTACGGATTTTCATTGTTGCTGTTACAATTGTCGTCGTCGCGGTACCTGAAGGCCTGCCGCTGGCTGTCACGCTCGCTCTGGCCTTTGCTACAACGCGAATGCTCAAGGACAACAACCTGGTTCGCTACCTCAAAGCCTGCGAGACTATGGGCAACGCTACCACAATTTGCTCCGACAAAACTGGAACTTTGACAGAGAATAAAATGACTGCAGTGGCTGCGACATTGGGGACCACGTCTCGGTTCGGAAAGTATTCTGGTGTCTCGTCCGACGATCAGAGTGAGATCACCCCCTCGGATTTTGTCTCTACCCTATCGCCACCGGTGAAGGATGTCCTACTCCAGTCGATTGTCTACAACTCAACCGCGTTTGAAGGCGAGACAGATGGAGTTAAGACATACATCGGATCCAAGACAGAGACTGCCCTCTTGACTTTCGCTAGGGATTACCTCGGAATGGGGGTCCTTAGCGAAGCGAGAGCAAATGGCAAGCTCGCCCAGATGTTCCCGTTCGATTCTGGCCGCAAATGCATGGCTGTCGTGATGCAGCTGGATAATGGAAAATACCGAATGCTAGTCAAGGGTGCTGCGGAGATTCTAGCCTCCAAGGCGACCCGCATCGTCCGAGACCCCACTGACTCTCTGTCGGAGGCTCCTGTTACCGACGAGGACAGGACTTCCCTGGACAACATTATGAACAACTACGCCACCCGCTCCCTCAGATGCATTGCCCTGGTACACCGTGACTTCGATCAATGGCCACCTCGTGGGGCCCCTACTTCGGAAACCGATCGCAACCAGGCAGTCTTCGAACCTATCTTCAAGGACATGACAATGTTAGGAATCTTCGGTATTCAGGACCCTGTCCGAGAAGGTGTTGCCGACGCAGTGTACACATGCCAACGGGCTGGAGTGTTTGTCAGAATGGTAACCGGTGATAACATCGTAACCGCCAAGGCTATTGCCCAGGAGTGTGGTATCTACACACCTGGCGGTATCGCCATCGAGGGGCCCAAATTCCGGAAGCTGAGCACACGCCAAATGAACCAAATCATCCCGAGACTCCAGGTCATTGCCCGCTCTAGCCCGGACGATAAGAAGATCCTGGTTAACCAACTCAAGAAGCTTGGAGAGACCGTTGCTGTTACTGGAGATGGTACCAACGACGCCCAAGCCCTCAAGAATGCCGATGTTGGTTTTGCAATGGGTATCACTGGTACCGAAGTCGCCAAAGAGGCCTCTGATATTATTCTTATGGATGATAATTTCTCGTCTATCGTCAAGGCCATGGCATGGGGTCGTACCGTCTGTGATGCTGTTAAGAAGTTCCTTCAGTTCCAAATCACTGTCAACATCACCGCCGTCATTCTCACCTTTGTCTCTGCAGTCGCTAGTGATAGCGAGGATTCTGTGCTCAGTGCAGTACAGTTGCTGTGGGTCAATCTGATCATGGACACCTTTGCTGCTCTCGCTTTGGCGACAGACCCTCCTACACCAACAGTACTTGACCGCAGACCCGAATCGAAGTCCGATCCACTGATCACTCTGACAATGTGGAAGATGATCATTGGACAGTCCATCTATCAGCTGGTTGTAACCTTCATTCTGAATTTTGCCGGAGGCAAGATTTTCACTTCATGGGATTACGAGCATTTGCAGACTGTGGTTTTCAACACTTTCGTCTTCATGCAAATTTTCAACCAGTACAACTCCCGTCGCATTGACAACAAGCTCAACTTCATGGAGGGTATCTGGAAGAATCGCTGGTTCATTGGTATTCAGATCATCATTGTCGGAGGTCAAGTCTTGATCATCTTTGTTGGTGGCGCGGCTTTCTCCGTCAAGCGTCTGGACGAAGGCTCGCAGTGGGCCGTGAGTCTTATACTCGGAGCAATCTCCATACCCATCGCCGTGATCATTCGTCTTATTCCGGATGAATTTGTCTCCAGACTCGTTCCCCACTTCTGGCATCGCGACAAGGGTCCCGAATTGGTCATCTCAGACGAGGACCGCAATTACGAGTGGAACCCGGCTCTGGAAGAAATCCGCGATCAGCTCGCCTTTATGAAGCGTGTCCGCGGCGGTCGCCTACGACACATCCGCCACAAGTTGCAAAACCCTCAAGAATTCCTTCCTCGGTCCCGCAGTGGCTCCCGCTCGCGTGATTCCTCCGCCCCGCCCACGCCGAACGGCGACAACGACAACGATAACGGCAGCCCGACCCCAGCCACTCCAGAGTCTCGCTCTAGACGCAACACACGGTCACGATCGAACTCGACGTTCGGACCCGCCGCTGCTATGGCAGGAATCGTTGCCGGTAGTATTGCCGGATGGTCTCCCATCGAGCGAGGCCACAACGAGCCCGACGTCGGATTCCCGACAGGCGGTGGCCCTCACAGTGGCCTTGATCGCGAACAAGGCATCGAAGTGCACCCGGATACCGCTGCCGATGACCGTATCCTGAACGAGTACTCCGCTACCTCCAAGACACCCCCTAGCCAGAACCCGGATCTTACTCCGTTCTTCGAGCATGCCCCGTCAGTGGACCGCGCGCCCTCAAGCCGTGGTCGTCGCTCTTTGTCTCAGCGATCGAGATCGAGATCGAGTCTCAGTCAGTCGCATGTCTGAGCCCGTCTCGCGTTTCTAATGCTCCTTTCCTTTTTTCCCCGAACGTCGGGATATTTTAATAATTCGTTATGCCCTTATTCCCCTTCGACTCAACTCTACTGCTCTATTTTCGGTGTCTGGAAATGGGTTCGGCGCAACGCTGTTGAAAATTAAGCATAGACTCTGTACTTTTGGGTCCATACAATCATTTGCATTTGGGTTTGGTGGCCTGGTTGGCCCTTTTTTCTTTGATATCTCTGGCGCATACGGGCCTTGGCGCCATCTAGCATTTCCTTGTCTGTTCTTCTCTTACTGTTCCTGATTGTAAAATTCAAAGATTCTGGAGATACCACGTTTTTTCCCTCTTCCTTTTTTCGTAACATTAGAGTTTCTCTAAGCTCTCCATGGACATGCATTGTAGATTCTGTCTTTTTAGGCTTTCTCGAAGGTATTTTTACTTCTCACTGCTGTTGATACTAACCTCATCCTCGTGGGTGATGTTAAGAGGTGTATGTATCACAAGCTTTGAAGAATAAGTATACACGCATCGTGGGCATACAACACTAATCTACTGCGCCCGCTGGAAATCAGGTAATGCCCAACGCACCATCCACTCTGAGTCCAGCACCTCCTCAGCAGTCGGACGATCCCCAGGCCGAAAGGCTAGCATCCGACACATCAAGTCCAATATCGCAGAGGCTTCCTCTCTATCAAACTCGCCTATTTTGTCCATCCGACGATACTTCTGCACACCTTCCTCAAATGCCTCGTTGATCGGTGGCCACACATCTCTGCCCTTCTTAGGGTTTCCATTACCATCAAAGAATACATCTCTTTCCTCCCAAGACTCCCACCAGGCCAAAGGCAAAGGACCTAGTACATCAATGTGCTGAGATATTATCTTGTTGATGTCTGTATACTCCATACTGAAAATTGCCTTCATCCCAAGGATCTCCCATATTGCTGTCGCTAGCCCCCAGATATCTGATGGGTATGAGAGTGGTGTTTCTGGTTCAAAGTAGGCCTCTGGTGCTCGAAAGGCTAGTGGTGTGTGACAGTCTTTCCTTGCCGCGAATCTGAGGCTGGCTCAAATGCCTCTCCAAAGTCGCTAAGGAGAACACCCACTTCAGAAAGTGTGAACTCTTCTGCCCTTTTCCCAAGATACAGTGGGAGGACTGCCTTTGGCGGGGCATTGGGGGGCAAGGGGTTCTTATTGCATTGGGTAATGGTGACTGTCTCAGGATCCCCGTATTTTCCGTAGAATTGTTCGATTGAAAGCTGATCCAGGCTGGACGGAAGGCGAATTTAGATACTGCTGAGATGGATATCTGAGTGTATAATGTTAGTTGTAAAAGTAACTTACGAAAAAGATAGTCCCACTGCTGTCAACACCACGAACCTCCATGCACGTATCCTTTTGAATGAGTATGTGCCATAGCAAGGGCAAGTCCGCCAGCGAGAGCTCGTGCGACATCCAGATGAAAAAGACGGGAATAAGAGACATACCTGAGATTGCATCGCGCAGGAGCTGTGGTATGGCAGGGATGTGCGCCGTTGGGACCATGTATCTCGAACTCATCAAGGACCAAAGGGAATAAACGGGAGCCGCGGTACTGCTGTACATATTCTGATGATGATGATGGTGTGGAAAGAGCTTGTAGAGCCTTGAGCTCACGGCGGAGGGAGTCTCGATCTGGGCTGTCCGCGATGCCAACTTTGACCGCGACGTACTGCCTCAGACGAAGATCGCGCGCAAGCCAAACAGTCGAATAGCCGCCGAATCCTAACTTGTCGACAACCTGTTATCTTTCTTGGAGGGTGTCTCCGACCATGATCGGGTGGTATCCCCCTGGTTCATATTTCTCGAGGTTTTCGGCGCCATCGATCCAGTTATACCTGGAAACGAATTCGCGATGTGGTGGCGTTATTGCTGACAAGTAACTAGACTGACAAGGGGTAGAGTAAGATCGGCTGGACGATCTCAAGTTAGGTGTTTGAATGGGGGAATAGAAAGGGAAATGTAGCGGGAGGAAGGGCTTAAGGAAAGAAAGGAGAACAGTGTATTCCTTGCGCAAGTCGCGCGCCATAAGTGCGCACGACTCCTTCGGGGAAAACTGATAGAGGGATCCTACCAAAAACAAAAAAAAGAAACGTGGTTCCAGAGGGGGTCGAACCCTCGACTTTGACGTTATTAGCATCACACTCTAACCAACTGAGTTATGGAACCCGATTAGATATTTTGTCAGTCGGACTTATGACATTATAAGCATTTTCACATTACCTGGGACTTTACCACGCAGGTCGCACCTTCCTGACCAACCAAATAAAGGCTTAGCCAAGACCTTCGCCAAGATCCCTTTCCGCATTATACATCCCTAAACTATACGTTACTGGGTCCTATACTATTCAGTTCCTCCTTTTTATGTCCTACAGCATTCTCTTTCATCCATTACTACTTGGACTTCATATTACTAGCTACGCACTAGTAACTTCCGCACCCCTATACCTACGTGTTAAGTAACCAATACATATGAATAGAGATATAAATAGAGATTGCAAGTAGTCCGCTTCTGACAAGCCTCGTTCATATGACTACAACCACACTTATCGGTTAGCCCTTGACAGATCTAGAACAAGGTAAGCGGCGCATTGAGAACATGCGAATCTCATACCCTATCTCTATTTCATTTCTACTCTTCTTCTCATTTTCAAAGCGAACAGATACTAAAATGCTTTAGTGTTCCAGCCGGCATTCATTCGGATTTGAACTTTTCTTTCCTTGGGAAAAGAACAGCAGACAATTAGCCCCATTCTTATATACATCGACGATTTATATGGCTTGGGGTTGGACGCCTTAAACCTTTACCGCAACTAAAGTTCCAGGCAAATGTTACCTACAACATACCTAGGTAGTTTAATCAGAATTTGTCATCATTGAATTGTGGCTACCTGTATAAGGCCCACATAACTTCAGATGACTATGTAGCAATAGGGAGTTCCCTTCTAGATCGACAATTGCTGTATTGGTACAATAGCAGGCAAACTGAACAAGTGGCATTATTGGATTGCATCCTTGCTACAGCTACATCGGAAATTCCCTTTCTAGGCTGCTGATCATGCTGAATAGAGACAACATTGAAGGGCGCATTCATTAGTCTCAATCCCTTTTCGACCCTATTGGTCCAATTCTTTCGGCAATCTCCGGCACTTTTTAGGAGATCTATCAGATCTACATTTTACACTAACCGACTTGGTCCCTACCTAGATTGTAATACTATAGATCGGTTCAGCTGAGCATCGCCAGAATGATACATATCCGTGATCTACATACTACACCTAGATATGTAAGCTATGTCTCGGCAAGGATCTATCTTTCAAGGGTTTTAGGTCGCACTAGAGAAACTTTCAGCTCTACTTTTTACGCCAACGACTTGGTCCCTAGTAAAATCACTGCGAGATATGACGTTGAACATTATCTAATGAACATATAAAATGGGGGTTTCTCACCCATATGCAATATCATCAACATCAAGCAAAAACCGCCAAGCAGGCAACTCCAAATATGTTGTCCGGTACTTTCAAGTCGGTCATGATCGCGCTGGCGTTCGGCGCTATCACCGCGTCGGCACAGGACTTCGACGATCCGATCCCGAGCCGTCGCCTCACTGAGTATCAGATGCCGCCCGCCACTCAGACGCATGAGTTTGCGCGCGTGCCAGACACGAACATCGTGTTGCTGTCGCAAATGTCTAACAGCAACCTCGTCAAGATCGAGCTGGATCCAACCACCGAGGAGTTCGTTGCTCTTCACTCGTTCCCCATGGGAAAGGACAGTGGTTCGGGGCTACATGGCGTGTGGCCATCGACTGTGTATCCCGGCATGGTGTGGCTGTCGCTGCAGCTCGAGAACAAGCTGCTGCTCGTGGACCCCGGCAAGGAGTCCTGGACTGAGCCGACAATCCTACAGACCATTGATATCCCGGCGCCAGGAAACGGCCCGCATTGCGTGTTTGAAATTGGCAACCGCGTCTGGGCCGGCCTCAAGGAGGCATCCAAGCAAACAGGCAAATACTATGTGTTTTCGGCCGATGTCTCCAACCCCACGGACTACACATTGTACGAGTGTCTCAACAGCCCCGTGTTTATCAAGGAGGAGCCGACCACCGGCTTGATCTACGTCACACAAGACTGGGACTCGTCCATCATGCGCATCGATGTCTCCACCGGCGAGACGGAGCAGCTGCCAATCCCGCCCAGCGTCGGCAACACCGCTGTCGGAATGACCACCGCCTACGGTCCCATGAGTGGTGTGTGGTTCACTCTCGCTGGAAATGCCACTGGCGGCACCGGCACCTTTGGCCATATCGGATCCGATGGCGAGATGGAGTTCTTCCAGCTCCAGAACCCGCTCGGCGCCAATTCAGGTCTACTGCATCTTGCTGACGCGACGACCGAGGATGGTGGCCCGGCATTGTGGATTTTGTCAACGTCTCTGCTCAGCGAGGACTCGCCTGATGCCCTGATCCATGTGACTTTTGACGCTGATGCCACATCCATTGCCGGTGAAGAGTATATTTCCATGCTCACTCAAAACTCTAAGGTGCACCGCGTCGTGCCCTTGGATTCCACGGTTTTGGTGTCCGAGCTTAGCACCTTTACTCTCGCCCAACTTACCTACAGCAACACGGTTGCCGGGCAGTGGCGACCAACTGAGTCTGTCAGTGGCAGCGCGGTTAACGCGGAGGCTTGGTGAAGAGGAATTTTTCGGTGGCAACGCTATAGATAGATATCTATTGTGTTTATAGATACCTTACTTAATTACTAATCTAATCATATATTACACGGTTGAAGGCTTGCGCATTTAAATGGTCAATTGCAAAAGGATTTACAACTACATATTGAAGAGGGGAACGCTCTAGGCAGTATGCTCTCCGGCATACGGGTTGATTCAGCGCATGTAATTCAGCGTTGTACCCACCAAGACACGTAAAGAGGACTCGGACGCTCTAAGAAGAGAGAGTTGCCGTACCGCTCACTCGTCGGTGCAGATGGGAATGACCATGATGTCCATGGGAGACTGCATAAAGGTGAGAAGACTGGACATCCTCACTGGTACCCTCGGCGTCCTCTCGTTTGCTGATGCTGATGTCCACATAATCAACCCACGGCCACGTACCAGACGGAATTTCATCGCATGATTCACAGTTCTTCAGATCACTGTAGCCATACACGCAGTCCATGCAAGCGCAGCCACAGCACATGTTTTCTTCTTCGGGATCGTCGACAACATCCAACGCAATCAGTGCTGCTGCCACCGATCTTTCCTTTATTGTTATTCATCATCTTGTCTGCCTGTTTGTAGACTGTGTTGTCGAGGCCGAAGAACGTATTAGGCACTCCGGCACCCTTACCTGCCTTGAGATGGAAAGAGTCGTAGTCACCGCGCGCCTGGAGGGAGTGGTACGCAGCTTCTTCCGTGATCGAGGAGTCATCGGATGACCCTGGAGTTGTGAGGGACCGTTCGGCTCCCTCGGGCTGCAAATCTCGCTTTGAATTGGACGTGTAAGGCGGCCAGCAAACTTCCTCGAGTTGTTGTTGCTATTCAGCGTGTTAATAAAGCGCATGCCATTGATTTTCTTCTGCACTGAGTCAGGTGGGATGATACTCACAGCATCCATTCCCAGCTCGACGTCGGAGACATCCCATTGCATCAAGTATCTAATATTGAAAAGTCAGCCGTCTGGAAGGAAAATCCGAATGCTGCGCGTAGTGAACAAAACTCGGTCGTGGTTCCGCAGACTCCGAATTCTGAGCAGCAGACATTCAGAGGGCAGCCCGTCCCGGGGATAGCAGCTTTCTTGCCGCATTCTGCGGTGGCATTGCAGTTCGACTGGTAACCGTCTCCACAGTAGGTGTCTCCATAACCACACCAGCCGTCCACACCACAGCAGGCTCCGTTGACGCAGGGGCTATCAGCAGAGCAAGTGTAGTCCTGTTGGCTCTTCGTGGTTTGAAGCTCGGCGCTCAAGGTAGCACCCAAATGACGGTTGAAACCAATTGACAAGGAAGAGTAGTATAAAACTCAATGCAAGACATTCAAACATTCGGTTCGGGATCCGCTGGGTAGCATTCCTAACAAATAATTCCCAGTTTCTTAAGATCCTGGAAATTTACGTTGGGCCGAGTGTACTCCGCCTCAAAAAGGTCATGATTCGTCCCGTATCCGTCTTTGGGGCTGCGTGTATCTGTTCCATCCAAGGGATTTTCTCCAGAGCCATAGAGAAAGCTTGCCACCTCGTCTGAAAGCTTGATGAACCTCCCCGGCCATATGCGAGAGCCTTCCATCGCGATCGTGACGGTCGGTTTCAGCGGTTGATCTCTCTCGGTCCAATCCAGTTCCTCTCGCATCCTCTCTAGTAGACCAGTCAAACACAATTCATCAAAGGGGAACTCGATAAATTCCAAGTCAAGAGATCGTAATGAGGATGGTGCCAATTTGAGTATGTCTATCAACTCCGACGTATCAACGCTGAAACGAGAGAGCGCCAAGTGAGACAGATTCGGCCACTCCTTGATAGGCAGAACCTCCTTCAGGGAAATAGGTGGATCCCTCATTGAAGAATGAGATCCATCATTGAACGTAGTTGATAAATGGACATGGGTCAATTCCTTGGCCAGGCTCACAGCTTGACGGAATAACCCGCTTTGGAATCCTGCCCAGTCACCACTACTGCCAGTAAGTAATGACAGATGAAGACGCCGGAAGCCTGGACGTTTCATGATGGCCGCAAATTGATCGTATTCCTCACAGGGCCGGTCGAAAATCAAAACGTTTAGTCCGGTGTGGAGTTGGTTGGTGTCGAAGCTCAGCTCGGAAACATTATGCTTCTCAGCCTGTGATAAAAGGCGAAGAACAATTCGAGCCCCTCTCCATAGCTCCTTGTAGTCCTCAGTTGCCTCTGACCACGGTAGCGGCTCGACAACCCGACAATCAACGGGATCACAGTGCCATCCTCGCGGAATCGGATAGTTGAATCCGTATGGAAATGCTCGGATCATGGGTGTCTCGTACAGCGGAGCAAACAGCCAGCCGTGAGCCGCAGGCGTAATGGTCACTCTTTTGAGCCGTGGGAATCGCTCCAGGCCGTAAAGAAAGGCTTTTTTATCGTCTTCGGATCCGATCGTAGAGGTCTGATCATCCCATAGTTGGCGATAATACTTCCAGCAGGCTTTCAACGGCATTTGGGCATCCATCTGGTTCTGACGTGCAACGTGGTCAGGTCGGTCCACGTCGCGGTATTTCCGATGCTTCATCCTGTAGCGGTTCTCTTCGCATTCCTCCGTGAACCAGATGGGACATTCCTCATTGGAGTTGATTTCCATGCGGTCGGGGTTGATGCTTGGGTGCACGGTCTCCCATATCAACGGCGCGAATACAAACCGTGCGTCGTCCCAGATGATCTCCCTGATTTCGTGGCGAAACTTTGGATGGTCTGCTACAGCCCGAAAAACTTGGATGTTCAACGAGTTGGCCGAAAGAAACACGCGTGAGGAGGAGAATGGTGAAATCTCGCCGAGGGCTTTGCACGTCAAGCGCAAGGACTTGACATCTTTGTTTGGCAGAAAGGACACGATGGATGAAATCATTTCAGGGGGGAAACGCAGAAGCCACGGACTTTGTGCTGCCATCCCGGACGAGGGGACTGGTGAAGCCCTTGGAGGTATGTCAATGGGTTGAAAGGTGCGAAATTGCAAAGATGTCAAAATGTGAGTGAACCCTTCACTCAAATAAAACCAAGTGCCCCAGGGTCAATTTCCTGATTTGAACATTAATTCGTAATATGGGGACTTATGCTAGAGACGGTTAAAATATATTCTTTGTTTTAGACGGATCCTAAAGGCTTGTAAACCGCCTAAAAATCAGAGATGCATGCATTTGTATGGAGGAAAAAGCTTCATGTTTACATGAATGATTTACAATACACTATATAGAGCGGTGTAACTAGTTAAGAGGGCGGTGTTAATTAAGGCATCCAGGCATCAAGATCCCCTAGTAAAAGGCGTTAATACCGCTACGTAGTGCGTAGTGAAGACATGGTCCCCCGGTACAATATGTAGAATATACAATATACAACGTAGGGACCTATGAAATCTCGACGAAAACACCACAAACGGCCTTTCCGTAGCTTTGGACAGCTGCTTGACCGCTGCCCTGTTATGAAAGACAAAGTGGTTCAGCATGAGCTCCGACTTCCGACCTTTTATCCACAAACGATGTCTTTTGAGTATCTAGTGACTCATTTGGATGTCCTTTCCAAGGTTGTACTCCAGAGCTACTAATGTGTCTTATATAATTTTGTATTGGAGTGTACAAGCTATTCCTACCTAGGTAAGATAGTAAAGTAATTAAAACTCAGCGCGTCTTGGGGGCCAGAACAGAACACACGCTAAAACTCCAAGTTCACCAGGATAGGGCAATACGGCCTTCCTAATATTATATCTGTCTCCACTACGGGGAGTCCTCCGTACTTTGGGGGTATTAAAATTCGACAGGGCTTGTGACCCCTTTCTGCCTAGGGAAAAATAGGCAGGTTCGCACTAGTGACACCTGTTTAAATACTAATACTCCTCCCAGTTTTGGACACATTTATTCCCCACCCCTACGCCCGCTACAATGAAGATCACTCCTTTCTGGGTCTCGATCGCCCTATGGGTTCCACAGGCTCTAGCAGACTCTACTGAATCCATAGCGACATCTGCTACATCCACTACCTCTACTGCCGCGGCACCAACCTGTACATCTTCCCTCATTACCAGTCTCTGCGGCTACCAGCGCCCTGGTCCAGAGTTTGCCGTCGCCAGCGACGGCAGGGCCTTCTGCTGGGACTACTGTAACGCCCACCCTCCCTGCGACTTTGTTATCTTCCGCGCCGGCAACCCTTACACGGGCACCGGCACGTGCTGGCTGTATCCGGGTGAAACCTTCGACGCGAGCAAAGGCAGCACGGACTGCGCCAATCCCTACCTGTCCGTCTACAGCAAGCCCGTGTGTACTGGGGGCGCAACCACCACTGCTGGCGCCTGCGCCGCCACCGCGACTCCCTCTGCTGTTGCCTCGGTCTGCGGGTACCCGCCGCCTGGTGACTGCTTTTACACTTGTGCCGCTAGTTCGGGTGCATCGCAATGCTTGAGTCTATGTGCAGAGGCCGATTCCTGCAGCTATGTTGTCTTTAATCCGAGGAATCCAAGCCTCTCACCGTATGCCTCGGGTACTTGCTGGATGTATGCGAACGGCACATTTGACGCTGGGTCTGTGACCGATTGCACTGGCGCTCCTGAGCAGTTTGTGTATGACAACGTGTGCCCCAAGCCATCACCTTCGTCGTCTTCCCTTTCATCATCATCTCTCTCTAGTGGCACTAGATCTGCAGGCACTACTCCGGGCTCAACCACTAGCGCTGCTATGGAACGCTCTAATGGCACTGAAACTGTAAGCGAAAATTCTGCGCCTGCCGGCCGCTCGCTCAGTAATCCATTGGCTATCGGCGTGGCTATGTTAATGTGGCAGGCTCTTTAATGATGTCCTTGTATGTATTGGTTGTCTGTTCAGCTAAACAAGCTATTGGAAACGATATATTATATCTTAATGGACTTCGTATGAGGTCACTTGTCCCCATGTATCTCTCGCTATTGTAGAGGGTATGTTAGGTTTCTTTGCTATCGTTGCTATCAGCACATTGCCTAAGCATCTCTATCTCAAAAAAACGATGCATTTCAGATGAAAACAAACGACGGTCTCATTATGTTTCCATCTGTAAGTAGTTCGGACTCGGCGCTCTTCTATTACTTGGAGACTCGGATGGGGTTCTGTCTCTGTGGGCCATCAATAAAGAGAGAGTTTTCTGACGATTCCTAGGTGGGAACAAGATCTAATACTCATGGAGTAGAATCAATATCGCAACATATCATCTCAGAGAATGGGGGGGAAGACTGCAAGAAACTTAATCAGAAAGCTGCTTTACTGATAATTGAACCTATATGGATAACTATTTCGCTGCAGTTCCCCTTTTCAAAGAACTACGAGATCTACAATGTGGCTAAGACATCGATACATCACCGTGTTCGGCTACCCTGCCTTGTGGGTTATGGAAATAGATAGAATGATAGGATAATATCTGGCTAGAATCGCAAGTAGTGTTAGAGAATCATACAAAATGATAGAAGCAGCCCTCAGCCACTTAACAAGACATTCACTTAGTACACAGGAAGCTTGTATGCATCCAAATCATAAGTAAAGCTATCAATCGAGTCCTGGTCGTAAACGCACTGGAACTTCTCGCCACTCGCACTCCAAAGTGGACGAAGAGGCCAACGACACATTGATTCAATCTCACCAGAACCAGCGAGTGTCTCCGGCGCCTTTCCATTCTCAACCCAGTCAATGAGAGTCTGCAGAGTTGTCTGTGGCCATGGCGCACCGGGTTGGTAGTCGTTGGTGGCACAGTGTCCGACGCCAGGAATGAGGAACAGCCGGTAGAAGTCATCGACAGCGGCAGCACCTGCTCTGTATGACTTGTTGGGGAACATAACCTCTCTAACCGAGTCCCAGTAGCGGACTGAAGAAGCGGTGGGAATTGAGTAGTCTTGCTCCCCGTGAACGTGGATGACTTTTCCACCGGCGGCTTGGAAGTCAGACAGGTCTGGGTATGTCGTCTGGAAGATGTCTCCGTACTTCTTTTGGGATAATATAATCCATTCCTTGAGGGTATCGTAGGTCACGCCGTCCAAGCTGGGAATGTTGGTCTCCTGCAAAAGATCAACGAACAGGCCAATCCACGTGCCACCGAGACCACTTATGTTGAGCTTCCAGCTGTCGGTGGAGGAATTATATGAGCTTAGAAGATCGTCGAAAGTCGAGCCAGGCTGGTAGCTGAAGTAAACCCGCTTGCCGTCTGAGTCGTGAAGGCCCTTCCAGAAGGTTTTGATGACTTCGATCGCCTTGGCAGATACCTTGCCTGTCTGTGCAGGCGTGGCACCAGCGAAGGCGGAGCCACTGAGGGCAGGGCACGAGTAAGAGGCACCCAGGATGGAATCCCAGTTTAGATGTTTCAAACACAGGTCAGAGCGCGATACAATACCGTCAGTCTTGCCATCCAGGGGATCGCAGCTTGCGACGGTCATGTTCATGATCTTCTCGAGCTCACAGCTGGGCGAGTAGTAGTCAACGGTTGTCTGGATGACGTTGCCGGTCAAATGGTTGGTCTGCTGCTGTGCCCACCGGAAGGCTGGAGCAGCGGCGACTACGCCATCGAACTGATCGGGGAACCGTTGGACCTGACTCCACCCGCCACGGCCTCCCTCAGAACAACCCTGGTAGTAGGAGTAAATCTTCTCGCTGGAGGGTACGTTGTAGATGTTTTTTGTCAGCTCTTTGCCCAATATAGCGAGCTCATGCTGGGCCTGGTAGCCTGTTTCTGATGTTAGCTGGCTCATGAGCTGTGACTTCGGAAGTAGGAAAGTCTCACCAAACATGTACGCCGCTTGCCAATTGATAGTTCCATTTTCCAATAGAGCAACGGAACTGAATTGGGTATCGAATGTCCCAAATCCACCATCGGTCAAACCCCCAACACTTTATACAATGGGTTAGTCAAACATTCATTCCATCGAATAGTAAGCGAAATACTTACCCGCCAACGATAACACCAGTAGGAATCGACGAAGATCCCGAGTTGATAGCCCAGCCACCTCCACCTGTGGACACATATCGGTTCTTAAACTTCCCTGGAGCTGGAAGCCAGTACTGCACATGAACAATATCGCCATCAATGCCGTCATGAGAGTATGCGAAAGTCACATTGCAGTAATCGAAGGTCGAGGTAGGGTAGAAAATGCTGCTGGCGGTGAAGTTGGTGACAAGACTTGTGGAAATCGAAGACGGATCAACCGTAACGCCCTGAATGGCATCTACTGGCAATGCCTTCTTCGCATATGCCGTGGTGCAGATGTCAGTCAGTGAAGTTGTTGTGGTGGTAGCCGAGGCCAGCACAAGCGTATAGGCCCATAGAGAATACCGCATGATGTTTCCGCCACCGCCTCAACTATGTCGGAGAAGATATAATCGAACCCCAGACAGAGGAATTGAATGTTTTATCTACAGCAGTGACAAGCCGTCCTGCAACCGGGATAACTTCGGGGCATTGGGGTAAATGTTATGCCGCCTCTCTCCACAGATCTGTGGGGAAGCTGGGTTACTATCAACTTTCCACGAATACAAATGATTCTTGAATACTTCAAGAAAGTCTATTTTAACTTGTTTTATCGGAAACTTGCTATTCAGGGGGCCCGGAAGGATGACTCCCGAGGTGTATAGGTCAGTCCACCAATACACTTAGTACTCCTGTGGTATATTCGCTGAGCTGTTGTTATCATCCACTACAGCAATATCAAGCTCTGCTAAGAGAATATCTGACCCGTACCCTATTTCGAGTGCTTATGATCTTTCATTTGTCCAGTGTGGCAGGGTGGTGCAGGTTTATGGTGGACAGGACTAAAGTAAAATATCTAACCCGTTACTCACAGTGATATGAACTGCGAGACCCTAGTTCACAAACGGAAGATATCCCCGAGGCCCGAAATTGCAGTCATAATCTACCAAGCCCTCATCCCACACCCCCTCGCCCGAACCCAAACATCTACAATCCGAGCAGCCTGACTGTCCTGGTCCGAATCGACAACAAAATACCACTCATAAAAGGCGCCAGTGACACAAGCATGATTCGGGTGCACTTTAACCACTTGTCCAATATGCAGGGGAATCTTCCTCTGGGACTCACTCTCCCAGGTCACAATTGCATGTTCCTGGCTGATCCTCTCAACAACCAATCTCTCTGATAAATCTTTACCAATCCCATCCATTCGCCAAGAAGAGACAACCCCCCAGCCGGAGTAACTAGGACACGGCTCTCGACCCAGTGCGAGCGTTCCCGCTGCCAGGAGCGCCTCGGGCTTCTCACGCTCACCGTCGTTATAGACACTGCACACTTCGGCGAGCACCGAGATGGCAATTTCATCTTCCAGGAATCCAGAAGCTGCACTAGCATGTGTGGAGAATTGCTGCATGTCTAGAATGGGATAGACGCCAGCATGCAGCTCGACATTCGTCTCACGAAGCAAAGCCTTGAGCTCCCGCGCTTCCGAACAAAGAGAGTCACCACGCAACAAGTTCTGAGACGAGACTACCTGCGGCGTGGCACCAACACTGATAACCAGTTCCCTTTTGGGCAGTAGATGTAGGTTTCTCTCTAAGGCATCTTTGCATCCGCGGATCTCACTGATCAAATGACCCATCGCTTGCTCCGGTGTTGTGCCGCTATAACTCAGACTGCTGTGTGAATACAACCCGAGGAGGCTTGCCCCGCCTTTCTCCTCAGCGGAGGCAAGTTTCTCAAGTAACCCGTTCTTGTTGAGAGATACGGGTGGTAAACCGGCGCGGTGGTAGCCCGTGTCGACTTTGACAAAGACACATGTTGGATGTCCTGCTAGAGAAGATAGTTTCTCCAGGTAGGGGAGTTGGTCTGGGTGGTCGATCATCACAGTAATGCTGTTCTCGCCTAGCGCGCGGGCTGCCTTGGCTAGTAGTGGAACCTGTGATGGGACGAGGGGGATGCCGTAGAGAATGTTAATTTTGCGGTCTTTTTGTTTCAGTTCCTGTAGTAGAGGTATCATCATCTCGATCTCTAAGACTGTGGAGGCTATGAAATTGGCCTCGGTGTTATCGCCGATTTGGAGCTTGGCGATTTCGGGTGTCTGTTGTTCATTAGTTGAGTGTCATTGCATGGAGAACTTGGTATTAGAGTTCTCGTACCTTGTGGGACTTAACGTGAACTCTGAATCCGACATCGAGCGTTTTGATTGTGCGTAGCATTGTTTCGCAGTGTCGGCGGATGATTGCAACGTCGAGCACGGCGGCTGGTTTGGGTACATCGCTGATGTCTTTGCCGATGTAGAACTGCCGTAGGTCTTCCTTAGAGGGTGTTATAGAGGCCATTTTGAAATATTTAGCAGGTGTTATTGGGAAGTGTAAAACGGATATGGGGTTGACTGCGGAGACTGTGACACACATCCACTAAGCTACTTTAGGTATGTCCACCGCTGGCCGCAGTTCTCGACTTTCTCTAATTAATAAATTGCCTATTGTCAAGAAACACCTTACATTGATCTCCTCACCGAGACATGGCCTCGTATTGTCCAATACCACTGAATATTTCACGATCTCCTCATATATCTCACGTCCGACTCCACTTTTCGGCCCCCCCTTATATGCGTAACTTCGACGATAGGAATTCACCATATATGGAACTATATGGAACCGTACTAGTTAACTGACCAGTTATACCAAACAGAGGAATCGGATTTAAAGTCGGACATAAGCAGAGCTCTCATTTCATTCCTACAACAGTCAAACTTGGAAATTGTTATTATCCCTCCTCTCCTTCGTCAACATCGCGCCTAAATAGATTATTCTTCCGTTCCGCAACTGACATCCACTCTGTACAATGTCATCTCCTATATGGCTTATCACGGGTGCTTCTAATGGCTTTGGCCTTGAAATGTGCCTTCACGTCCTGCGTACGGGGCACCGTGTTATCGGCTCTGTCCGCAGTAAGACCAAAGCCGCCACTGCGGTTGAGCAGATCGAGCAGGCTGGAGGCTCGGTGATTGAGTTGGACATGACAGAGACACAGGCCAGCATTGCAAGCAAGATACACGCCCTTGGTCGCATTGACTATCTGATTAATGTTGCTGGCTACTCCATCCTGGCCGCCTGCGAGGACATTACGTACGTAGCGACCATTATGAAGAAGGATGATTAGTCCCTCTAACTTGTTATAGTGATAAAGAAGCAACCCTCCAAATGACCACTAACTTCTTCGGCCCCCTATACACCCTACAGGCTGTCCTCCCTGTTATGCGCGCCCAGCACTCTGGTACTATTGTCAACATCTCCAGTGGTGCCGCCCAAGATCCCCTCCCGGCATGCTCTTTGTATAGTGCTTCTAAGGCCGCGTTGGAGGCTGCATCCGAGTCGCTTGCTAAGGAGGTCGCGCCCCATAACATCCGCGTGCTGATCGTCGAGCCCGGCAATTTCCGCACCAACTTTGTCGGCGCGGTGAGTTTTTGATTTTGTTTTCCCTTTCAATTTCGATATAAGTCATTAGTGCTAATTTACCGGCGTTACAGTTGGCTGACGCAAGTCCCCACCCGGCCACGGTCGCTCCACACTATGATGACCCCGTGGGCGTGGTGATGCGCAAGTTCCTCACTGTCCACGGGAAGCAGCCTGGCGATCCCCAGAAGGGGGTCGAGCGTATCTTCGAGGCCGTCACGGGCACTGGGATGGCCGGTCCCTGGCAGGCAAGATCTCTAGATTGGTCCTGGGGAGCGATGCGTATGCGAGGATGCAGAAGAGCTGTGAAAGATTCAGCAACGATTTGAGTTTGCAGGAGGAAGTTTCCCTGAGCACCAATTATGCCTAAGATGGACAGCTAAGGTCAGTATGCGAGCATCAAGATGTACGCATCTAGCTCAAGAAATTGCACCATCCATGGATACTCTGCCTGGCCTGCAACAATATAGACAATATAGAATAGGGGCCACGGCCCCAGAATGTTTCCCGGGCGGGCCGCCGGGCCCTCTTTTCTAAAAGATAGTGTGAAAAGTAGATCCTGAGCCAATCACATTATTTTTGCTTAGAGAATTTTACTATGATTTTTACGTGTACGTTGGCTATACCTTGATTTCTGTCTATTATAGTATCCCGTAGTATTTTTGGCATGTATAAATCACCTTATATGTTACTATGAAGCTATTCAAAAATCACCCGATCTACTAAGTTACCATAGAGGAATACGGCCAGCGATGGATATACCTAAAGTACATGTGTAGTTTAGCGGGAGTGTCTCGAGATAAAGCGTGCGTAGTCGCTCTCATTTGTATTCTCGTCGCATCCCAATGGCAAAAATGTGGGGATGTCGATTCCGACATCACCGTACACCCTCCAATATCCCGTTCTCCGGGTATTCTCTGATTTGACCGACTCCTCCATTTCCCCAAGTCGAGCTGCGTAGGGTAGGCTCGGTCTTAGACTTGACCACTGTTGTCATCTCCCTCCTGGTTCGAGTCTTCGGCGTCTAAAATATAACTATTAGAGGCAAAGGTTCAGGTCAATTGGGTAGACTGGAGACAAGATACCTGAAGTTCGCACAATGAAAAACTGCGCCGCAGCCACAGGTCGAATCCTGTGATGAACAGAGCTAGTGACCATCCCGTTACGGAGCACGTATTCAATATTCGATACTCGCATCAGACGCGAGCTTTGCATCGCCCACAATGCTGCGAGCCACTCATTGTAGGTACGGACAATGCCTACTGTGGGCTGGAGGCTTTGGATATCCCTCACACGGGGCCGGGAAGGGTCCAAATCGATGTTTCGGTATGGGGAGGGTACATGGAACTGGATCTCGTCGAGTTCCGGGTTGTACTGGAAGTGGGCTTCCAGATCAGCGAGGAAGGCAGGGTAGTCCATGCCGATGGCCTCATTGGTTCCCTTTGGGAAGAAGTAATTGCCAGCCCAGAAAATGGTCGCATCGTTTGTGGTCGCAGGTCGGCGCACGACGATCATGCCGTCACGGATTCTGGGTTGGAAGATGGCCGGCGGGGAAGTGTAAGGAGGGTCGGGGGAGGCCATGGCAAGTTCGGTATTGATGAGGATATTGCGTAGGTTAAAGCAAGCACAACTGGAGAAAAGCCAGGTGGGGTGAGCAAGAAGCTAAAGCTCAGATCGAGGTTCAGCCAAAACAAACCAGGATGGGAACTATGAGCGTCAAGTTGGGAGGTGTGAATGTGGGATTGTGCCTTGGATGACACGTTTGCCACGTTTGATAAGGCATTTTACTACAAGAAATGGGATCAATCAACCCCTGATTGGATTTCATCGATTCGAAATAGCTAAATATCTCTTCGCTCGACTTCCCTGTTCGGAATGAGCATCCATCCAGAGCCCCAGTGCTCACTTTCCCTGGCATCGGTGCAAGATCCGTTATGCTGCACTACATCTCCCGGATTGGCTGATTGAACCTCTTCTCCCATATCATATAACCACCAAGAACACAGCCCCATCGCTTGATAGCAGCCTTGAAAAGAAATCCCGCACTGCAACGATCTCATCGCTGTCCATTCAGAGTAACTCGTAGTCGGCTGAATATAGATATTTATATTGAGTCAGCAATCATCTCACACGTTCTTCAATCAAAGCTGGGAGGAGTTACGTACCTCTCCTAACAATAGTTAAGCGAGCCGTGATGGTGGTAGAAACAACAGTGGAGGCAGGCTGCGCATCCGAGTTGACACGGCCCAGGGAGGCTTTTTCCATGGCCAGAAGAGCGGCAACCCAGGTGTTGTAGGTCCTGACTAAAAAGACTGAAGACTCGCCGGGGTAGCCTGCGGACTTGAAAGCGCTGGTACGATCCCATCGGAGTTCTTCTTCATCGGAGTCGTAGTCGAAGTGGTCCATCAGATCATGTTCGAATGCTTCGTAGCTCAGTTTGGCGGGATCAAGTCTACCATCTGGGTTGATGCGCATTTCACTTCTCACGTAGCCCCCAAGCCAAAATACAGCTGACTGGCCGCTTTCGCGATTGGTCACTTCAATGAGACAGTCGTGCATTTTGAGCTCTCGCGGACGGTCCTGCGGGACGGCGTCATTTGTGCTACCCATGTTGAGTGATACGTTGAATGGACAGTTCAAGACTTGAAGAAAAAAAATCGATGACGAGGGTAGGGTGAGAGGATGAGTTTGATACGAGTCAAGATCGAAGAAGAAAAGTAGACGAAGGAAGACAGAGCAAGCGGAGCGGAGATATAAAAAGTATGATAAGATCTGAGATGCAATTGAAAGTATGACAAGATCCGAGATGCAATTGAAACATCTCTCAGTTATTCATTCTTGATGATTTCACTGATCTGCGATATATCTGTTACTTTACATTTCCCTTCTTTTGCTTCCTTTGAATCTCTTTACTGAACACTTCACGTCCTCATCTTGTTCCTGCTTTCCTTTGGTCTGTAAAGAAAGGAGCTTTCTGTGCAATTCTGTATTTTTCGTCAGATCAGGTTGACTTATTGGAAGATATGCTCTACCAAACTCCTTCTTGGTCACAATAAAGAAGCGACAGGTAAGTCCGTGTCCCACTGCTGCTTCCTTATTTTGCAGGGCTATCAAAACACCCAACCAACCGTTTTAGTTTCTAATGGCATATTCATAGTCTAATCCTTCGATGTGTTCTCATTGGTCCCATAGAAGCACATGGCTGTAGCCGAAATGAGACCGCAGATCTTCGATAAACGGGTCATAATGGAGTTCTACAGCCATATCAACAGACGGGGTGGATCCCTCCCTAGCGTATGAGCGAAGCCAGAATAATCCGCTGGCCATACCATGGTAGTGGACATGGATAAGTCTGTCCTGTAGGTAATGTCTGACTCCGTACAGAGCTGTGCTTTGGCTACGTTGTGTTGCCACTGGGGATCCTGCATGAGTTGGTGCTGGTTGAGGTGTTGATGAGGATGGTAAGGGGTTTGCAGGAAGAGTTTGACTTTTTTGGGTCAAAGCTTGCTTTGAAGCCATGGTGAGAGATGTCTTGACCTAGTTAGAGAAGATATAAGATTTCACAGGTGTTGCTGGGGAAGTTCAGTGATGGGTAGGCGGTGTTTTTTGATGTTTAGGGGACCTAGGTATTAATATCCATCAAAATACCTGTCATTACTCCAGCAATTCAAAAGCGTTACGAAGAGCGAAATACTTCTGTATTTAAGGCCGCAATACGTTTAGACAATGTTTAAGGTCCGTATCCCCAAGCATGCCAGGGAAACCGAATCAGACATTAATCAAGGTGTGCCGCTTTTCTTCAGCCTGTGATGCGATCAGAATCTAAGTAGCTGCCACTAACCAGAGGAACCATACAAGCAGCGGTGACCTAAGCTCTGTGCACCCCCATATCGCGGAATATATCATGATGTACTAGATATAGCGCGTCGTGTTAGCAGTGAAATCCACTAGCAATCCTACGAGAAGTCAACCTTTTAACGAATCGGCATCGTCCTAACACTTCTCGCCAACGCCTGGCAAGCTAGGAGAGTTCACCTTCGTAGATCCGCAACACAGACTTGTGGCAGAAGTGACAGGAGAAAAGCTTGGCTAGACTTATAGGAATGATCTGAGCTAAAGACTCGCGCTAACTATCAGATAAACCAGGATCCCGTGCATCTATATTCCAAGATTTGTTCGTTTGCTTTAAATTTAGCTGACTGACTACCGACGAGGAGCAGAAGGCAAGAAGAACCAAGAAGAATGACCATCTCAATATGATATTTTTGGTTTCTCTTCATTAGTACAAATTGGGCGAATTTCTTTCAATACGGCGGTTTGGCCGAGTGGTCTAAGGCGATTGACTAGAAATCAATTCCGTTCGCGGGCGCATGTTCGAATCATGCAGCCGTCGTTGCACATCTTTTTTTTTTATTCTTTTTGGTAGAACCCTTTCTTTCCTTAGTCTAAGTGACAAGGTACCCTTTCTATCAAATGTCGCCAAGTGAAAAGTAGTGTGGTTGATATATTACTTCTACCAGGTGTATCATCATATATTACACTAACCCCTAATCGGTTAAGTTACGTAACCTTCGGCCTTTTGTGGGTGTAAATCATATATCTAGACTAGATAGTATAAATAGCACTATAGGTCCATGGATGTTATAGTAGCTATCAAATATAAACCACAATATACATATATAGGTAGGGTAAGGTAGTTATGTATGGTAAAAATCTGGTCTTCTAGTTCTATAGCCTCGTCACACTAAAATAGCAAAACTCAAGCAAATGTTCTCCGAAGTAAATACAACAGACCATGATAGATGTCGGGATGAAGGGGGTTTTGCACTAACAAAGAGCATGTAGCACTATTCAAGCCTTCATAATACCCTCTGTACAATGTACTGATCGACTCGATAGGCTATACGACGATGCCGATGACAACCGAACAGCCGTCGAAGAACTCTATATATAGTAATCAAGCCAAGTTACGAGTGAATTAATAAAAGTAAACATTAATTAGAGCTATTTAAAAGAACCCCTTCCCTCAGACCTTCTTTTCCCTGGAGCTATAGCGAATCAGCACGGAAAATACCCGGGGAAGTATTCGTCCATCAATCACAGGATACATTTCTCGCGGAACTTGCTCAACGGAGCTTCGGACTGATCAGCATCCTCCACTTCGCGCCCTCCTAGCCGAAATCTGAGCATCGTATAGAATCGTGAGATAATACATACTCCTTGCGTGGACAACATTCCAGAGCATGCATATTCGGAGCTTTCCAGTATGCCACTTACCCCATACGGAAATGTATCGCGGATCACAGGGGTCGGCGGGACTTTTATTTCTCATGCTGAAGCTGTCATGGGCCTATCCCTTCCATTGATGGTATCATGAGGTGGTTACAGGCCCACCGAATATGTGTGTGGTGACCTGGTGGATGGGTCAATATTGTAGTTCCTCCCCCACTTGTATCTTGGGATGAAGCTGGATATCTCACTTTGCTCTCCACAAGACGATCGATGATCAACAATCTGCAGAGCATGCTCTTTCACGGCTGTATTACAGTGATGCAATTTCAGTGCTCATCATTGAATACCGTCTACAAACTGCTTGGTTGGTGCCTTGATTGCTAAGGAATGTGTATGTCCACGGGTATCCTGTTCCCCCTCGGGTCGTTACACCGTCTCTCACTGGGTAGACAGGGTGATGTCAATGTCCAGCCTAGCAATGGTGCACTGGCCCTGAGTGCTTTTTCACTTATATCTATCATACCATAGCTTTTCCCCCGTCCATAATGTTTTATACGAACGGCTCATTCCCTTCCTCTTTTTTGACTCTTGTATAGATCTGGATTTGCGACATCCACTCTGTACGCCAGACCCCTCGGCATTTATCTCTCTATTGGTGCATTCGGATTGAAAGGCTCTGTCCACGAACAGCTCAATCCCATATAGCCAACTCCTTCGAGATATCCGAGAATGAAGCTCGAAGATGTCGAAAAAGCCCCCAGCTCACCCACTCTTAGGAGTCTAAGTCAGATTCAACTCGACAAAAGCGCCTCCAACAGTTCCTCCGGCGACTCAGACCTCGCAAAGCCCGAGCTCTTGCCGCAATCAAGATGTCAACGATGGATTGCAAGCCTAAAAAATGTGGAGAGACGTGGCGTCGAGCCCGTTCCCATGGAAAAACGAGAGACAATAACACCTTCAACCATACTTCATATGCTGCTAATGTGGTTTAGCATGACATTGGCGACAAATAACATCATCGTTGGATCAATGGGTACACTCGTGTTAGGCCTCAGCTTCAAGGATGCGGCCCTCTGTGCTGTATTTGGATGTTTAGCCGGAAATTGCACTGTCGGTTTTATGAGTATATGGGGCCCGAAAAGCGGAAACCGAACTTTGGTATGTTGTTATTGAAATATCCGTGGAGTTTTGCACAAGGAGAGGAGAGAACATCCGCTCATGAATTCGATAGATCGTGGCCCGATATTTCATGGGCTATTATCCCAGCAAAGTCTGCATTATCCTGAACCTCTTCACCAATATCGGGTATAGCATGGTAAACAGCGTCGTCGGTGGCCAGATTTTGTCCGTGGTCTCTGGTGGCCATCTTTCCGTGATAGTGGGCATTATCATTATCGCCGTTTCCAGCTGGGCTATGGCCCTGTTTGGCATGAAAATCTTCCAACTATATGAACGGTAAGTATCAGCCGCCCAGCACACCTTAAATGCATATTCTAATTAATATCAGAGTTGCCTGGTTGCCACAGCTGCTGGTGATATGCGTGATGGTGGGTTCAGCAGGGCCTAATTTCGACTTCAACATCGAAACACCAATGTCAACAGAGCAGTTAATCGCCAAAAGAATCACCTTCTTCTCCCTGGCATTGTCCATTGCCCTAGCCTGGGCCCCACTCGCCGCCGATTACTATGTGTATCTCCCGCCGCAGATGAAGAGCTCTCGGACATTCCTGGTCACAGTCTTCGCCGCCACTAATGGCATGTCAATTGTTCTCCTTATGGGCGTTGGTCTCGGAACCGTCATTGCCAGCTCGGCACACTTCGCATCCAAGTATGGTAGCAGTCCTGGAGGAGTCCTGATGACAGCGTACGACAGTCTGGGAGGGTTCGGGAAATTCTGTGCTGTTATCAATGTCCTTGCTTTGGTTGCCAATAATACCCCCGGGGCATATTCGATGGGAATGAACTTCCAGATGGTTGGTGGAATGTTTGGAAAAGTTCCCCGACCGATTTTCACGACACTTGCTACGGTTATCTATGCCGCATGCGCGATGGGAGGTCGGGACCGGCTGTATGAGGTCTTCAAGTCTTTCCTGCCTCTAATCGGATACTGGGTAATGATGTTCGTTGTGATTGTCTTTGAAGAACACACAGTTTTCCGACGGAATAGAGGCTATGACTGGTCTCAGTGGAACTGTCGCGACAAACTGCCTTTGGGGATCGCAGCGGGAGTTGCTTTCCTGATTGGTTGGGCTGGTGCAATTGTTGGCATGGTAAGACACCCAGATTCCAGTTAGTCATGTCTTGCTAATACCCAGATTTAGTCTCAAGCGTATTATATCGGCCCCATCGCGCAGATGGCCAGCGGAGCTGATCTGGGCCTCTGGTTGGGTGCGGGCTTCACGGCGATATTTTTCCCACCGTTACGGGCATTGGAGCTCAAATTTATTGGTCGCTAGTGGTTGTACCACTCTTTTTACATGTTGGCATAATGACCTGCCAGGAAGCGTGGAGGCAGCACATTTTATATCCTCAACATAAACCAGAGAGTATATAGCGATAGCATGGGGAACTGTAAAGACCCGATGTGGACTTGAATAGAGTTTAAATAATGCAAAGATGTATTAATCCTAGGCCCATGATTCGTTTTAAATTTACTAGTAAAACGCCATGGCTTACGAGGCGCGATCGCATGCGCTGTTCACAACTGTGGCTTGCCTTCAGATGTCTCAGTTAGCTGGGGAAAGTTCTCATTTCTCCCCGAGGCTCGGTATATCGGGTGCCCCGCGTTTAAATCGTCCAATTATATTTTCCAGATTAAACAAAGTTAATGGAATTGCATAGGTAAATCATACTGCTTCTCTACGGATAATCGAGTTATGCAGAGTGTTATGTACGTCGGGCTGCACAAGTAAGTGAAAAGCCGCGGGCATAACTTCAGCTGATAAACTTTGTGGGGATTGACCTGTCCCGTGGATCGTCAGGGCACCACAATTTCTTATTTAAATCTCGTGGAACCCCCCGTCAAAGCCTCGATCCCCAAATTATCACCTCAATATGAACCACACCGACACCTGGGCTCCATCCCTACCTACAGGGAGCATGACAGCCCAACTACTCCCCTACGCCGTAGGCCTCCTCCTCGCCTGGCCCGCAGTAACAACAACCCTACGATTTCAACGCTTGCGCAAGCTCCACAAACAATATGACTACCCAACACGGGAATCAATGTCCAAAATGACCGACGAAGAAGCCTTCCAGATCCAAAGACAGCTTGCGCAGCTCGAATT